GAAATCTAAAAGCTGCAAATTGCAGAACCATAAAAACTGAAACAAACAGAAAAATCGAAAAACCACAAAAGCGGAAAAACGAAAATCGAAAAATCGCAAATCGAAAAATCGTAAAATCAGAAAATGGAAAATCGAATAATCGAAAGTTGAAAAATCGAAGGTCGAAAAATAAAACCGAAAAATCGAGAATAGAATAATTAAAAAACCGGAAAATTGAAAAATCGGAAATCGAAGAATTAAAAACGTAAAATCGAGAATTCAAAAATCAAAAAAATCGGAAAGTAAAATATAATCGAAAAATGCAAAAAAATTCCAAAGTCTAAAAACTGACGAACAGAAAAATCAAAAAATCTAAAAATGGAAAGACGAAAAATCGAAAATTGAAAGAATGGCAAATTAAAAAATCGAAACATCGAAAAATCAAAAAAACGAAAAATTAAAAAATCGAAAAACGAAAAAACTGAAAACTCGAAAAATCAAAATACCGCAAATTTGAAAAATCAGAAAATTAGAAAGTAATAAAATCGAAAAGTTGATAGAAAAATGGAAACTGAAAAATCTAATTCGATGAAACTGTTGGTCGAAAAAACGAAAAATCGAAAATCGAAGTGACCTTTTTTTGAGACAGGCTGTATAAGTAAATCTAAAAAATATTACTGCAATGATAAATCACAGGTATAGACTCATCACATCAAATTTTACGATGACGTCATGCATTTTTTGGCGAAGATAAGCAAATACATTTTGATCGTGGCTTTGAAAGTATTCTTCGACTTTCGTTCCGTTTCAAAATTTACTCTTTGTATATTTCAGTGGTCACAACGAGTTCACTAACTAGGCTGAAGTATGCAAAGATTAAATTTGTCACCGAAAAGATGTCGGAAGTAATAAATTCTCCTATCGGTCGAAGAACGTTCGGTCCGGTCTTACACCTCGACCCAAGAGAGACCGCAGTAAAGGATAACAAATGGAACGGATAAAATAAAGCGTCAAATATGATTGATAAACTTTAAACCAAAATTATGAAGTTTATAAACTGAACATTTTTTTTGCTTTTTGAAATGTAGTACACTTCAAAAAATGTCCGTGACTTACTTTAATGTGAATTTTATAACTATGGTCGGCACAATTAGACCTAATATTAGTGTGATTTTGAGCATATTCTCGATGTTATTAGAGCAGGACAGGTTTTTTTTTTCTAACTAATTGACAAGATTTCAAAGTATTCAGTTTTGCAATTCTTGATTTCTTCAATAAAATAAATGGACTCAGTCATTATTTTTTTTTGAGTCACCCTGTATGCATAAACAAATCCAAAAAATATTAATGGAATGGTAAATCACAAGTATAGACCCATCATATTCTGAACATTTTAGATAGGGTATTTATAAAATTCAAACTAATTCAGAGTAAGTATTTATAAAATTAAAACTAATTCAGGGTAAGAATTTGGTCAACACGTAAATTTCGTTGTAGTTTGAGCCTACCTACAAATTCTGCCCTTAGACGATTTGGACCGCCTCCTTCGGTGACGACCGGCAAAAATGATCCGCCCATAGGCTCAAAACATTTGTGTGCGATTGTACTCTCCCAAAATCTTTGCATAGAAAATGAAGCAAGGGCAACTGAAGCGTTCCGCAGTAACACCACACTGACAATAAGACAATGCGGTTTGTACATTTTTAGCGGAATCGCCAGACGGCTTAATAAACAAAAACGCTATCGTAGAAATTTATAAAATGACCAATTTAAATAATGCTTAATTCAACGAGATGATAAATTTTGGGAAAATAATATGATAGAGCCCTAGAAAAATTTTATTTATATGCCTTACTTCCGGAGAGAGTAGATTTTCGTTATTAAACAAGTCAACCCATTAGACAAATTGTAAAGAAAAAATTGGTCTAAAGAGTTTAGACAGTACTTCCCTCGCTGTCGGAAACTTGACGACTGCATGGCTATTGTGTTTTTTTCTCATTACATTTTTGTAGTGGGAATTTAAAAAAAATTGCGATGACGTCAACATTTTTGCAAGGACACGTATATCAGTTGGGATAGATGTAGTGTAATACTAAGAATAAAATTATTGTATTCCCAAATTTTCGGGAAAATGAATTGGGTCGTTTTGAATATTGATTTTTTATAATCAATAAAATAACGAAACAATTTACTCACGTATACGGCAACTGAAAATCGTTTATGTATAAACATTCTTAATTTAAGATGACAAGCGTAACAGCATACGTGAGAGTCAAACAGAGAAACTGTAAACAAAACGACCATCGGTTTTATTGCTTCGACTTCCGCTTATTATATAAAACATTGGGTTTTATTTTAATTCTTGACGGTGAAATTCACAATTGGTTGATTATAAACATGTCTATTTCACATTCGCGGAACCAAGTGAGCGCATAAAACAAATGCAGGTCTGTAATGTTAAAGTCGATGTAAATAAGCGTGCTACCCTTATGTTTCAACCGAGTTTTTCCTTTAACAAATTTTGTGTCTACCAAATTGGGTTGGTCGGGGTGTAATACTAATAATAAGTGTTGCCTTTAATTTAATCAATAAAATAAATTGACTTCATTAATTTTTTTGAACCACCTCTTAAGAAAATCTAAAAAATATGAATGGAATGATAAATCACAAGTACAAACTCATCATATTTTTTGCATTTTAGATAGGATTTATTCAGCAAAATTTAAGGGTGACGTCATCAATTTTTTTAGGAGGGATGAACAAATACATTTTGAACAAAAGTTTACCATGCTTATAATAACTTTAAAATATTCCCAAGATTTCAAAGCATTCGGTTTTGTAATTCCTGATTAAATCGATAAAATAAATTCACGCCTTCATTAATTTTTTTGAGTCACCCTGCATATGCAAATCCAAAAATATGAATGGAATGATAAATCACAAGTACAGACTCATCATATTTTGTACATTTTAGATACGATTTATTCGGCAAACTTTTGAGCTGACGTCATCAGTTTTTTGTAGAAGATAACCAAATATATTTTGACTAAACATTTATTATGCTCTTTATAACCTTAAAACATCTGCAAGATTTCAAAGCATTCGGTTTTGTAGTTCCTGATTAAATCAATAAAATAAATTTACGCATTCATTAATTTTTTTGAGTCACCCTGTATATGCAAATCGAAAAAATTTGAATGGAATGATAAATCACAAGAAGAGACTCACCATATTTTGTACATATTAGATAGGATTTATTCAGCAAAATTTTGTGGTGACGTCATAATTTTTTTAGGGGGGACGACCAAATACGTATTGATCAAAAATTTACCATGCTTATGATAATTTTAAAATATCTTCAAGATTTCGAAGCATTCGGTTTTGTAGTTCCTGAGTAAATCAGTAAAATAAATTTACGCTTTCATTTATTTTCTTGAATCACCCTGTATATGCAAATCCAAAAAATATGAATGGAGTGATAAATGACAAGTACAGGCTCATCATATTTTGTACATTTTAGATATGATTTATTCGGCAAACTTTCGAGCTGACGTCATCAAGTTTTTGGAGGGGATAAGCAAATATATTTTGACTAAACATTTATTATGCTCTTTATGACCTTAAAACATCTGCAAGATTTCAGAGCATTCGGTTTTGTAGTTCCTGATTAAATCAATAAAATATATTTACGCATTCATTAATTTTTTTGAGTCACTCTGTATATGCAAATCCAAAAAATATGAATGGAGTGATAAATGACAAGTACAGGCTCATCATATTGTGTACATTTTAGATATGATTTATTATTCGGCAAACTTTCGAGCTGACGTCATCAAGTTTTTGGAGGGGATAAGCAAATATATTTTGACTAAACATTTATTATGCTCTTTATGACCTTAAAACATCTGCATGATTTCAGAGCATTCGGTTTTGTAGTTCCTGATTAAATCAATAAAATATATTTACGCATTCATTAATTTTTTTTGAGTCACCCTGTATATGCAAATCCAAAAAATATGAATGGAGTGATAGATCACAAGTACAGACTCATCATATTTTGTACATTTTAGATATGATTTATTCCACAAACTTTTGAGCTGACGTCATCAAGTTTTTGGAGGGGATAAGCAAATATTTTTTGACTAAAGATTTATGATGCTCTTTATAGCCTTAAAACATCTGCAACATTTCAAAGCATTCTGGTTAGCAGATTAAAAATTAAATTTCAAAATATTGTTTTATAATTTTGATTTTTTTTCCAAAAATCTGGACGTTTCGGGTGAAAAGTCGATTCAGAGTTGTAAACTACATGTGTAGGACTATGTTATTTTATACAATTGAAAACCCATTTACTATGTACAATTTTGAAGTGACGTCATCGCATTAGTGGTGGGGATGATTAGACAAATTTTGGTTAGCGTTTTACCATCTACATGATATTCTTAATATAAGTACAAAATTTCACAACAATCGGTCGAGTACTTTCGGAGATTATCTGTCTAATAAAAATCCGGGACGGCAGACGGACAGACGGACAGACGGACAGACGGACGGACAGACGGACAGACAGACGGAAATGGGAGACCTATTTCTTCGTCTTCTAGGGGTCATGAAAGATCGAGAAAACGTAAAAGTAGAGAGTCGGCCGACGGACTCGATTACGATTTTTTGCTTACGCTCGGGAAGTAAAAACAATGTTTAAGTGAAATTTTAGTGTTTGTTTCTTACATATGAAATAAACACTTACAAAAAGCCGAATAACTGTTTTAAATAGCGTAAAGTTTTAAATGGATACCGTTAACTTGGTCATTGCTAGTGAAAACTGAAAGTATCGGCAACAATGTTTATATTTCTGGCATATTTTTTAACCTTTAATTCAATAAAACATAACCTAACGAAAAAAGTTCAGGGAATTTTTATTCTTCTGCATTGATTACCAACAAACTCACTAGATTTTCATGGCCAACCCCACTATATAAAGATCGTGAACGGATAATACAAATCATTAATTGAATACTTACATTCTGTGACAAGCTGTTGCCGCTGCCACGTTCAAAAATGGGTAAATGTAAATGATAAATCGAAGCTCTTTATGTGGTAAAAATGAATATAAAAATACAAATAGGATTGCTGAAATGCATAACTTCCTTGCGCGATCGTCCAGATAAAAGCCTATAGGAACTAGAAATATTGACGCAGCCATTCCTCGAGGAAGGGCTGAATAAAAATACCACATAAATGGTAAAGTCTAAACTAAGTTAAGTTCATATATGGGAAAAGTCATAACTAGAAAGGGAAAGTCTACCAGACACTCTTGATTTGTTGTCATAGTCTAATTACTGAAAGACCCCACTCATATGTTCCCAGATAATAAAGGATACACCATAATCTGAGCTTCTGTTCCACACTACATTAAACCACAAAACTTCACCTTCTGGCCACAATGGTCGATTCCAAAATATGGAATCCACTATAACAGACAGTGATAAAAATGCCATCCCTGCAGGAACAGCCAATTGAAAAAGTCTAAAAATAATAACAATTATATCATAATTTAAAACTTAATTTTATCTTACTGACCTACCGTTTAATAGTAATTCGTTTATATAATAAATCATAAAGAAGTAGTAACCCCAAAAATAACACTAACTCAGCCCTAAAAATAATCACCGCAGCTCCTGAGAACAGTATAAATTGTTTACTATCATTTTTGAGCCAACTGTTCAAAGCAAATAAAACTAGAAAGGAAAAAAAAATCATTATTGAAAAACAACAAAGTGAGTATTATACCAAGAGGTAGGGCAAATATATTAGGTAAAGGGCGGCTCAGATAAAACATAAAATGACTTTGGGTTACAGTGATTGCCATAAACCAATGCAACCACTTTGGCCCGAAGATTTTGCATAAAGTTTGAGACAGAACATGAAAACTGGCGATCACACATCCTCCCAAGGCAAAGCGAACTGAAAATAATCACAATAAAAAAACGTTCTTCTTGTTATATAGTGCATACCTATATATTGAGCCCAAAATTTACTAATTTCGAAATTTTGCAAGACAAACACAACGGGAGAAACAATTAATGAAATAAATAAGGGTCCTATGAAGGTTCGTGGCACGACTCCAGGAAACTCTAGATGGTCATACTATAACAAAATATTAATTAAACAAACTTTTACGTTAATTTGGTAAAAGTTTCGTATCACTTCTGAACAAAATGTGTCCTGTTTTATTTAACGAGCGTGTACTAATTTTACTTCACTTGTTCACACAGGAAAAGAAAAGCGACTATTATTAAAATCTACCTGACTCAGATTCCATCTATGATATAAAATGTCGTGCATAGCCTGCAAATTAAAACTTTCTTCTACTTTGGTAAAGGGGCAGTATACCAGATGGGCGGCAGCAATTATCATCATTATTTGCGACATTTTGCGTTCTCGAATTTACATGTCTGTTTAAATTAGTCCAAACGAGTACAAAAATAGATTCTATTATAACCTACATCCCAACACATCAACTGTCATTTTGTGGTCATGTCGGCTTTATTAAAAATTGGGGTGCCACCTGCGGAGTTTATTCGAACTATTGACACCGGGGACCATAGAACAAGGCTCAAAACGAGAGCATACGTTAATTTTGTTTTCCGTATTTTTCTACGTATTTCTCAATTAAATTTTCAGTTTTTTCATTTTTAAGGTTACAATTTTTCCTTTTCCAATTGTTGACCTCTTGATTATTCGATTTTGAGTTTTTTATTTTTGCAGTTCTTCGATTTCTCAATTTTTAAATTGGTCGGTTTTTCAATGTTTCTTTTTCTATTTTTCATTTTTTAATTTTTAGATTTTTCAGTTTTTCTGTTTCACAATTTTCCGATTTTTTGGTTTTTTAAAATTTCAGTTTTAATAAGTTTGTTCTTTTGTTGAAAAATTAAACGAAAAATTGAGAAAATAAAAAATTAAAAATAAAGTACTTCCAAATTATGTATATTATGTGGTTTCTTGGATTTTTTGATTTCTCAATCCGAAATTTTTATATTTTTCGTTTTCTTAATTGATAATTTTTCGATTTTTCCGCGTTTCGATTTCTCCATTTTTTAGTTTTTCGATTTTCATTATGGAATTGTTGCATTTTTCAATAAAATTTTCGTATTTTTCGATTTTTTAATTTGTAGATTTTTAATTTTTCGATTTTCTAATTTGCTTTTCAAGTTTTCGATTTTCTATGTGTTGAATTTTACAATTTTTCGTTTTTTCCATTTTTCAATTCCTAGATTTTTAATTTATCACTTTTTCTTGTTTCTATGTTACATTTTCGACTTTACAGTTTCTATCTTTTTCTCAGATGTTCCATTCTTTAATTGTTTTTTCGTTATGCAATTTTCAGTTTGCTAATTTTTTCAATTTTTCGATATTTCAAGTTTGGTTTTTCAATTTTTCATTTCTTCGATTTTTCCATTTTTATTTTTTTTTTCAAATTTACAATTTTGTAATTGTTTCATTTTTAAATTTGCCGATTTTTAATTTTTCTCTTTTTTCAAATAATTATTAGGGTCTTTATTATTCAAGTTTTGACTTTTCCATTTTCGGTTTATTCAGTTTCTGCATTTTTTTAATTTTTTGATTTCTCAACTTTTAAATTTTTCGGTTTTTAGTGTTTCGTTTTTACAATTCCTTAATTTTTTAGTTTTCCGGTTTTCATTTTAAAATTTTTGAACTTTGAAATTAATTTTTTTTTTGTATTTTTGATTGTTTAATTTATAGAAGTTTTTGTTTTTCGTTTTTTCAATTTTTCACTTTCTCGATATGCTGTGTTCTCGATTTTTAATTAATCAGGGTTTTCAGGTTTCAATATTACAATTTTTCGATTTTTCAATTGTTTTTTGAATTATCCCATTGTTCGATTTCTCAATTTTTTCATTTTTCGATTTTTCAATTTTTAAATTTTTCGATATTTCAAGTTTCATTTTTCAGTTTTTAAGTCTCATTTTTTCGGCTTTTTCAAGTTTTCGTTATTTTTTCAATTCTTCAATTTCTCAATTTTTTGATTTTTCTATTCAATTCAAAATTTCGGTTTGAATCAATTTGTCTTTTTGTTGAAGAATTAAAAAATGACAAATCGAGAAAATGAAGAAATAAAAATCGAGTATTTGAAAAATTTTATATCGAAAAACTGCAAAATTGTTTCTTTTTGTTGATTTTTTCAATTTCTCGATTTTTAATTATTTTGTTTTTGATGTTTCAGTGTGTGAATTTTTCGGTTTTTCAAAAGTTCAGTTCGCATCAATTTGTCCTTTTGTTAATCAATTAAAAAATAAAAAATCGACAATTTGAAAAATATTAAATCGAAAAATTGCAGAATTGTTGGGTTTTGTCGATTTTTCAATTTCTCGATTTTTAAATATTTTAGTTTTAAAATTTTTGGATTTTGAAAACATTTTTTTTTTATTGTTTAATTTAAAGAAGTTTTTGTTTTTCGTTTTTTCAATTTTTCACTTTCTCGATTTTTAATTAATCAAGGTTTTCAGGTTTCAATATTACAATTTTTCGATTTTTCAATAGTTTTAACATAATAATTATTCGATTTTGAGTTTCTTTATTTTTTCAATTCTTCGATATCTCAATTTTTAAATTTTGGGTCTTCAGTGTTTCTTTTTCGATTTTCAGTCTTTAATTTTTTGATTATTCAATTTTTTAGTGTTACAATTATCCATTTTTTTGATTTTTTAAAATTTCAGTTTTAATAAATTTGTCTTTTGGTTGAAAAATTAAAAAAGGAAAAATTGAGAAAATAAAAAATTAAAAATTAAGTACTTCCAAGTAGGTAATTCCAAATTACTTCGTTTCTTCGAATTTTTAAATTCTCAATTTGAGATTTTTATATTTTTCGTTTTCTTAATTGATAATTTTTCAATTTTTCCGTGTTTCGATTTTTCCATTTTTTAGTTTTTCGATTTTCATTATGAAATTGTTGCATTTTTCAGTAAAATTTTTGTATTTTTCGATTTTTAAATTTGTAGATATTTTAATTTTTCGATTTTCTAATTTGCTTTTTAACTTTTCGATTTTCTGTCTGTTGAATTTTACAATTTTTTGTTTTTTCGATTTTTTAATTCCTAGATTTTTAATTTATCACTATTTCAGGTTTCAATGTTACAAATTTTCGATTTTACAGTTTCTATCTTTTTCTCAGTTGTTCCATTTTTTAGTTCTTTTTTCGTTACCCAATTTTCACCTTGCCAATTTTTTCAATTTTTTTTATTAGAGTTTTCATTATTCAATTTTTGGCTTTTCCATTTTCCGATTTTTCAGTTTCTGTATTTTTTCAATTCTTCGATTTCTCGGTTTTTCAGTGTTTCGTCTTTTCGATGCTGCAAGTTTTCAATTTTTCCATATTTCTTTTTTAAAATGTTTGGATTTTGATTTTTTTTTTTGTATTTTTGATTGTTTAATTTATAGAAGTTTTTGTTTTTCGTTTTTTCGATTTTTCACTTCCTCGATTTTTAATTAATCAAGGTTTTCAGGTTTCAATATTACAATTTTTCGATTTTTCAATTGTTTTAATCTTTTAATTATTCGATTTTCAGTTTCCTTATTATTTCAATTCTTCGATATCTCAATTTTTAAATGGGTTTTTCAGTGTTTCTTTTTCGATTTTTTGTTTTTTTTAAATTTCAGTTTTAATAAATTTGTCCTTTTGTTGAAAAATTAAAAAACGAAAAGTTGAGAAAATAAAAAATTAAAAATAAAGTACTTCCTAGTAGGTAATTTCAAATTATTTTGTTTCTTCGATTTTTTGATTTCTCAATTCGAGATTTTTATATTTTTCGTTTTCTTAATTGATAATAATTCTTCGATTTTTTAGTTTTTCGGTTTCTCCATTTTTCAGTTTTTCGATTTTCACTATGAAATTGTTCCATTTTTCAGTAAAATTTTTGTATTTTTCGATTTTTTAATTTGTAGATATTTTAATTTTTCGATTTTCTAATTTGCTTTTTAACTTTTCGATTTTCCATGTGTTGAATTTTACAATTTTTCGTTTTTTTCGATTTTTCAATTCCTAGATGTTTAATTTACTACTTTTTCAGGTTTCAGTGTTACAAATTTTCGAATTTACAGTTTCTATCTTTTTCTCCGTTGTTCCATTTTTTAATTGTTTTTTCGTTACCCAATTTTCAGTTTTCAATTTTTTAAATTTTTCGATATTTCAAGTTTGGTTTTTCAATTTTTCATTTTCAATTTCTCATTTCTTCATTGTTTCCATTTTTTTTTTTTTCGAATTTACAATTTTGTAATTGTTTCATTTTTAAATTTTCCGATTTTTAATTTTTCACTTCTTTCAAACCATTATTAGGGTTTTTATTATTCAAATTTTGGCTTTTCCATTTTCCGATTTTTCAGTTTCTATATTTTTTCAATTCTTCGATTTCTCAACATTTAAATTTTTCGGTTTTTCAGTGTTTCGTTTTTTCAATGTCGCAATTTTTTAATTTATCCATGTTTCGTTTTTACAATTTCTTCATTTTTTAGTTTTCCGGTTTTCGTTCTAAAATTTTTGAAATTTGAATTTTTTTTTTTTGTATTTTTGATTGCTTAATTTATAGAAGTTTTTTTTTTCGTTTATTCAATTTTTCACCTTCTCGATTTTTAATTAATCAGGGTTTTCAGATTTCAATATTACAATTTTTCGATTTTTCAATTGTTTTTTCAATCATCTCATTGTTCAATTTCTCAATTTTTTAATTTTTCGATTTTTCAATTTTTCAATTTTTCGATATTTCAAGTTTTTAAATCTCATTTTTTCGTTTTTTTCAAGTTTTCTTTATTTTTTCAATTCTTCGATTTCTCAATTTTTTGATTTTCCAAATCAATTCAAAATTTCGGTTTGAATAAATTTGTCCTTTGTTGAACAATTAAAAAATGAAAAATCGAGAATTTGAAAAATTTTATATCGAAAAATTGCACAATTGCTTCGTTTTGTCAATTTTCCAATTTCTCGATTTTTAATTAATCAGGGTTTTGAAGTTTCAGTATTACAATTTTTCGATTTTTCAATTATCCAATCCAATTTCTCAATTTTTTCATTTTTCGATTTTTCAATTTTTCGATGTTTTAAGTTTCATTTTAAAATCTTTGGATTTTGAAATTAAAAATGTTTGTATTTTTGATTAATTAATTTATAGAAATTTTTGTTTTTCGTTTTTTCAATTTTTCAATTTTTTATTATTTTGATTTTTGATGTTACAGTGTTACAATTTTTCGGTTTTTCAAAAGTTCAGTTTGAGCAAATTTGTCCTTGTGTTAAATTAAAAAATGAAAAATCCAGTATTTGAAAAATTTTATATCGAAAAATTGCAGAATTGTTTGGTTTTGTCGATTTTTCAATTTCTCGATTTTTAATTGTTGCATTTTTTAATGTTTCGGTGTTACAGTTATTCGATTTTGCAAAATTTTATTTTGATAAAAATTGGAAATCAAGAACTTGAAAACTTTAAAATTGAAAAATTGCAAAATTGTTTCGTTTTTCGATTTTTTGATGTTTCAATTTCGGGATTTTTTATTTTTCGTTTTTCCAATTTTTCAATTACCGTTTTTGCAGTTTTATTTTTAATTGTTCTATGTTTTTACAATTTTTCAATTTTTTGATTTTTTAGTTTCTCGATTTTCATTTTGAAATTTTTGGATTTTTCATTTTAAAATTTGTTTCAATGATACAATTTTCCGATTTTCCAATATTTTAGTTTGGATAAATTTATTCTTTAACTGGAAAATAGAAAAACACGAAATCGAAAAATTAAAATACTACAAGTTTACAACTCAAAAAATTGTAAAATCGGAGAACAAATAAAGCAAAAAATGGAATAATTAAAAAATCGTAAAATCGAAAACTGAAGAATGCCGTTTAAAAAAAATGCTCCCACACAATAATAAATATAAAAACAAATCGTATGCTTTTCCTTAGATCTATGATATTGGAAATGAACACTTGAATACACACGATGAATAATATTTGAATTTGGCGTCGTTTGACATATTTAGGGATATGGTTGTTTATGGTTTTCCAACCTGGCAACATTGATGTAAAAATAAATACGAATGAGTTAATTTTTGGTGTTAATATTTAGCGTTTTCGCTAGGAATTGCCGCAAAAACTTTCAACACATAGGTTTTTAAGGTATTCTCTGCGGCAGGATCTTTTCTGACGGTCATTATCAGTAATTTTTGTTCCAGACTTTTTTAGGTTAGGATTCACTGGTAGGCACATTATTTACCAAATTTGTGTTGTACTGGACTAGCATAATTACACTGTGCTATTAAATAAATAAAAAAAAATGGCAATTCTATCACTTGCAGGTGTATTCAGCAGGTTTGTGTAATCTTCACATGTGGTGTAAACAATAACCAATGAACTAGCACATATTCATTCGGAACAATTTTTAAGCTTGCTGTGTATTTTATTTAATTAAATTAATATGTTTGCCCTTTAATTACACAAGGCAACATATACATTACTGCTATTGAAAAGTGGTAAACCAGATGTTAAATACCTGATCTGATTAGTTCTAGTCTATGTGTAAAAGAATGTTCAAAGGATTTCTGTTTTAAAACTGATTGCTTTTAATTTCAGTAAATGGTTGTATTGATTATGTTGATTTCAGACTTACTCTTCAAGTGATTGAAAGGCATGCACCTCGGGGTATTTCTACAGGGGTGGTGGCAAACTTTAAAGCAACGCCATATTTAATGTAGGTATAGTAGTTGGTAAGGAAAATGTTTGGCATGGAAAAATTTAATTTAAATTGTTATACCAGTTCTTTTAGTCAATATTTTGAGGTCTGAATGAATTTCAAAAGAGTTATACCTATGTTACAGTTTCTGATGGTTATGGTCCATAATAAATTCATTTTTGACAAAAAAGCTTTAACACTATGTTGCTTATTTTTATCCAATTTGAATAAACACCAGTTTTTTTTTTATTATTATTAAATTTCATTTCTAATCCAGCTGATGAATCAAAAAATCTATATTTCATGGCAGATCCTTCTCACATTTACAAAAATATTAGGTTTGCATTGGTATATAACAAGATTGTGATAATTCCGGACGAGTTTGTTAATAAATATGCATTACCAAGCAATGAGGACTTTGTGTAATTTCAAGAAAATTTCGAATTAAAATTACCACCAAAACTAAGCAGTGTAGCAAACGTAGCTATTGTTGACCGTGATGCTTATACCACTGCTTGGTTTATATATATTTATATTTTATATATTTTCATATGACCATAACATTTTGTAGTTTATTATGGGACACCTGTATTTTATTACAACTGCAAAATTATCTCTAAGTAAGTTTTTCATTCTGATTTTTTGGGTTTATCTTAACAATAATTTTTAAAAATTAGAATAAACCTTAACAAATTTAAATTAGAATAAACCTTAACAAATTTGGATTGAAAAGACAATTTATTTAGAGATAAGCTCTGAAATATTAGAAAATACAGTCCCATTTGAATAATATGAGAAAACTGTCAAGTCGCAAATTTAACCACCTTGTACAAATCTTGAGCTTTTAGTGTTTTATTTTTTATGAATTTGAAAAAGTCTTGAGTATCGCGGTGTTTTTGTTTTTTTAGTTCGGCAGATTCTTGGGTACCCATGGTGTATTATTTTAGGAGCCCAGGGAGATTTTTTTTGCAAACTATTTAAAACAATTTTGGGGGACCTTGGTGTTCCATTTTTAGAAATTTCTGACCTGACTTGTTTTGAATTAATTTTGGGGCTTTTTTGAAGAATTTAAAACAATCTTGAGGTTCTCGGTATTCCTGTTTGGAAAGAATTTGAAAGTGCTTTTCTGATAATAATTTAATTAAATTTCTTATAGGTTATGTCATTTGCCAAAATCGCTCTTATTTTAGCAGGTACTAACACCGCCCACCCGCCCTCTATTTTCTTAGAGGGAACTCATTACCTAAAATCAGTCTTATCTTAGCAGGTACTAGCACTCTAAGAAAATAAAGGGGCTAGTGCTTGTCAAGATAAGACTGATTTTGGCAAATACATATCTTCTAAGAAAAAAACGGGTGGGTGGGCGCGGTTAGCACTTGCTAAGATAAAACTGATATTGGCAAAGGGCATACCTAAGAAGAAAATAAAGAGTGGGTGGCGGGGTCAATATTCGTCGGCTGAGAATTATTTTGAACCAAGTCCCTAAAAACTTTGTCATGGAAATTACCCATCAAAGTTTTAATCATGTGCTATAGATTTTGTAATGCAAAATAATACTTACCATTACTACTAAATATTTTAATTATTGTCGTATTTATTGCCGTACTACTTGGTATATTCATAACAACAATAATTTTAGAATAATGCAAAAAGTGAAAATGGACTTCAAAAGTGTGCAAAAAATATTACTAGAATTTTGTTTATTGAACCATGTCCGTTGTAATAACAAGAATGAATACATACATATCAAAACAAATTTTTAATTTAATATAACACAAAATATTTAATATTTAGGTAAATAACTGGAAACATTATTAACTTCATTTAATGGAAAATTTGTGAAAAATCTACTAAATGCATATGTACCTATTATAAGAAATTTAATATAAATATTTCTCGTAGAATGTACGATCAGTTTGTGCCATATAGTTAAGCATAGCTTTAATGTCATTTGCCTTCTTTTTACTTCCCGAGCGTAAGCAAAGGAAGTATTGTAATCGAGTCCGTCGGCCGACTCTCTACTTTTACGTTTTCTCGATCTTTCATGACCCCTAGAAGACGAAGAAATAGGTCTCCCATTTCCGTCTGTCTGTCCGTCTGTCCGTCCGTCTGTCCGTCCGTCCGTCTGTCCGTCTGTTGTCCCGGATTTTTATTAGACAGATAATCTCCGAAAGTACTCGACCGATTGTTGTGAAATTTTGTACTTATATTAAGAATATCATGTAGATGGTAAAACGCTAACCAAAATTTGTCTAATCATCCCCACCACTAATGCGATGACGTCACTTCAAAATTGTACATAGTAAATGGGTTTTCAATTGTATAAAATAGCATAGTCCTACACATGTAGTTTACAACTCTGAATCGACTTTTCACCCGAAACGTCCAGATTTTTGGAAAAAAAATCAAAATTATAAAACAACATTTTGAAATTTAATTTTTAATCTGCTAACCAGAATGCTTTGAAATGTTGCAGATGTTTTAAGGCTATAAAGAGCATCATAAATCTTTAGTCAAAAAATATTTGCTTACCCCCTCCAAAAACTTGATGACGTCAGCTCAAAAGTTTGTGGAATAAATCATATCTAAAATGTACAAAATATGATGAGTCTGTACTTGTGATCTATCACTCCATTCATATTTTTTGGATTTGCATATACAGGGTGACTCAAAAAAATTAATGAATGCGTAAATATATTTTATTGATTTAATCAGGAACTACAAAACCGAATGCTCTGAAATCTTGCAGATGTTTTAAGGTCATAAAGAGCATAATAAATGTTTAGTCAAAATATATTTGCTTATCCCCTCCAAAAACTTGATGACGTCAGCTCGAAAGTTTGCCGAATAAATCATATTTAAAATGTACAAAATATGATGAGCCTGTACTTGTCATTTATCACTCCATTCATATTTTTTGGATTTGCATATACAGAGTGACTCAAAAAAATTAATGAATGCGTAAATATATTTTATTGATTTAATCAGGAACTACAAAACGGAATGCTTTGACATCTTGCAGATGTTTGAAGGTTATAAAGAGCATAATAAATGTTTAGTCAAAATATATTTGCTTATCCCCTCCAAAAACTTGATGACGTCAGCTCGAAAATTTGCCGAATAAATCATATCTAAAATGTACAAAATATGATCAGTCTGTACTTGTGATCTATCACTCCATTCATATTTTTTGGATTTGCATATACAGGGTGATTCAAGAAAATAAATGAAAGCGTAAATTTATTTTACTGATTTACTCAGGAACTACAAAACCGAATGCTTCGAAATCTTGAAGATATTTTAAAATTATCATAAGCATGGTAAATTTTTGATCAAAATGTATTTGGTCGTCCCCCCTAAAAAATTTATGACGTCACCACAAAATTTTGCTGAATAAATCCTATCTAAAATGTACAAAATATGGTGAGTCTCTTCTTGTGATTTATCATTCCATTCAAATTTTTTCGATTTGCATATACAGGGTGACCCAAAAAAATTAATGAATGCGTAAATTAATTTTATTGATTTAATCAGGAACTACAAAACCGAATGCTTTGAAATCTTGCAGATGTTTTAAGGTTATAAAGAGCATAATAAATTTTTAGTCAAAATATATTTGGTTATCTTCTACAAAAAACTGATGACGTCAGCTCAAAAGTTTGCCGAATAAATCGTATCTAAAATGTACAAAATATGATGAGTCTGTACTTGTGATTTATCATTCCATTCATATTTTTGGATTTGCATATCCAGGGTGACTCAAAAAAATTAATGAAGGCGTGAATTTATTTTATCGATTTAATCAGGAATTACAAAACCGAATGCTTTGAAATCTTGGGAATATTTTAAAGTTATTATAAGCATGGTAAACTTTTGTTCAAAATGTATTTGTTCATCCCTCCTAAAAAAATTGATGACGTCACCCTTAAATTTTGCTGAATAAATCCTATCTAAAATGCAAAAAATATGATGAGTTTGTACTTGTGATTTATCATTCCATTCATATTTTTTAGATTTTCTTAAGAGGTGGTTCAAAAAAATTAATGAAGTCAATTTATTTTATTGATTAAATTAAAGGCAACACTTATTATTAGTATTACACCCCAACCAACCCAATTTGGTAGACACAAAATTTGTTAAAGGAAAAACTCGGTTGAAACATAAGGGTAGCATCGCTTATTTACATCGACTTTAACATTACAGACCTACATTTGTTTTATGCGATCACTTGGTTTCGCGAATGTGAAATAGACATGTTTATAATCAACCAATTGTGAATTTCACCGTCAAGAATTAAAATAAAACCCAATGTTTTATATAATAAGCGGAAGTCGAAGCAATAAAACCGATGGTCGTTTTGTTTACAGTTTCTCTGTTTGACTTTCACGTATGCTGTTACGCTTGTCATCTTAAATTAAGAATGTTTATACATAAACGATTTTCAGTTGCCGTATACGCGAGTAAATTGTTTCGTTATTTTATTGATTATAAAAAATCAATATTCAAAACGACCCAATCATTTTCCCGAAAATTTGGGAATACAATAATTTTATTCTTAGTATTACACTACATCTATCCCAACTGATATACGTGTCCTTGAAAAATGTTGATGACGTCATCGCAATTTTTTTTAAATTCCCACTACAAAAATGTAATGAGAAAAAAACACAATAGCCATGCAGTCGTCAAGTTTCCGACAGCGAGGGAAGTACTGTCTAAACTTTTTAGACCAATTTTTTTCCATTACTGGATTAAAATTAATAATTAAAAAGCACGAAATTTATACAAAATGGTGTAATTTTTCGGAATGAAATACTTCATCATGTTTTAAGCAAATTTCTCGTTGAAAAATAAGGATTTTACAATTAAGCTCCACTCCTCTGCTTATGACGAATAAAAAAATCATCAGAATTGAGATAGTTCGGGTGGGCGGTACTTATATTTTGCCTTTTTTTTTAATATACATAGCCATCTTTTCACAACAAGAAACTTAGAACATAGTTAAAATGGCAATATGGATTTTGCAACAAATATTTTTACTATTAAAATTACTCTTATTTAATAATACAAATACAACCAGCGGGCCTACCGGACCCGGGTTGCTCAGGTACACAGATAAAATGCATTGCCTCGGATAAGGTAAAACGCAGTGAATAGTGAATTGTGGTTTATGGTTTTTAAAATACCCTCTTACCATGGCTTAGATTTATTACCCCTCAGGATTATATTTAAAGATGTATAAGTACTGAAGGCTACAATGTAGGAAATGATGGTATTTAAAATATGAAAATTTCCGTGACAGAACACTATTAGTGGACCTCTTATCTCTATTTTTGTTTATGTGACCAAAATCACCAACATGAAGTATCAAAAATTACTACTAGTATAACTCAACTAATAACTACTGAAAAAAAAAGTGAAATGAAAAAATGTATCTGTATCTGCGCCATTAATTTTGTATCTAAATGCAGATATTTTGTGCTTAAATTCGATTGTATCTAGATACAGATACTAGATACCTAAAAATGTATCTAGATACTTTTTTTAGATACAAGTATCTAGATACTGCCCAACACTAATGGCTGGATTTTCATATGAAATAGAACATGGTACAATATAATTCTACAAAATCGAACGAAATAGGACTTGGTTCAAATAAATACTTCAACTAATTGCTTTTACTGTATATATATGTATAAAATTATACCCTTTCAAAAGACTATATTTTCATAACAGGAGACTGTATGATACAAAATCTATTATTTAAGAAAAAATGGACTTGGTTCAAAATAATTCTCAGCCGACGAAAATTTGTCTAGATATGACTGATTTTGGCAAATGATATACCCTCTACCCTTAATTTTCTTAGAGGGTATGTTATTTGGCAAAATCAGTCCTATCTTAGCAAGTGCTGGCCCCGCCCACCCTCCCTCTGTTTTCTTAGAGGCTATGTCATTTGCCAAAATCAGTTTTATCTTACCAGGTGCTACCCCCGCCCACCCACCCTCTCTTTTCTTAGAAGATATGTCATTTGCCAAAATCAGTCTTATCTTATCAGGTACTAGCATTCTAAGAAAATAAAGTGCGGCTGGACGGGGCTAATGCTTGCCAAAATAAGACTGATTTGGGAAATCACCTTCTCTCAAAAAAAAGAGAGGGTGGGTGGGCGGGTCTAGTACTTGCTAAGATAAGACTGATTTTGGCAAATCATATACCCTCTAAGAAAAGAGAGGGTGGGTGGGCGGGCCTAGTAATTGCCAAGATAAGACTGATTTTGGTAAATGATATACCCTCTACTCTTCATTTTCTTAGAGGGTAGGTCATTCGCCAATATCAGTCTTATCTTAGCAGGCACTAGCCCCACCCACCCACCCTCTCTTTCCTCAGAGGATATGCTATTTGCCAAAATCAGTCGTATCGTGGCAATTACAAATTCCTTTGATTTTTTACCTTCACATAAAAATTTGCAATATATTAATCAACATGAAGAATGTTGATTGTCACGTTTAATTACATTTTTAGGGCGGAACCACTGAAGAAAAAGAAACGGGTTGACCCTGCAGTTTTGAAAGCGAGAGAAGAACGCAAAAAGAAAAAAATTGAAAAACAAATCAGACGCCTGGAAAAAAATGCTAGACAGTTGAAACCTATTGAAGAATGTGAAGTCCCTCTCAGTTTGTTAGATGAAAAAAAGCAAGTACATGTACCCACAGTTATTAACTACTAACTGAATCTTTTGCATGAAAATTCACTTAATTAATTATTCTTCATTAGTCTTAGAAAGATAATAAAATAGTAAATAGTATTTTTTTAGAAATAAATTTTAATTACAAATCATTATGATTTATTGTCAACAAAAGTGCTAAACGATATTTTCGTTCATAAACTAATTTAATTCAGTAGCAAATGATATAATTAAATGTGACTTATTTGTAGAGTGCGCATGAGATCATTACCTGCTTTTACCGCTGAAGCTTTGGAAAGTCGGGCACTTCTCGAAAAACAATGGGCGGCTTATAAGAGAGATCAATACGTAGCTGATGTGCAAATGTTAGATTCGATAGAATTTTCACAAACTAAAGCTTTAGACGAATTGAGAAAAGAATCCGAAGAACTGTATCAAGAAGCAATGAAGGTGAGTAATCATTATATTATACATAAGTACACTGATTTGTGTGTGTGTTGTTTCTCATCTCAACTGATTGTTAAGAATTAGTTCAAAACTTGAATTAGTGGTAGAAACTCAAGAAATTTTAGACAACGAAACTGTTACTCTTTATTATTATTTTTTTTTTTTTTAATTTTTGATTTGCATTTTCAACCAAATCCCTCATTGCATGGCTTTTGCTGAACCATTTTATTGTTCGTTTTTTTCTTATTTCTTCTTTAGCTTTTCTGGTATAGATTTTCAGATGGTAAACTATCATTTTTGAAGTAAATTTTGTTTTGCTGTTGCAGCATGTTGGAAATTGTATTGAGCGATAAGTCGAATTTTTCCTAATTTCTTTCTCCATGACTTTCAAAACATTACCATTGCAAAAATTAGTGTTCTTTAAATAATCTCTCAAATTATAAAATATTTGCTCTACTAAAATTGCTATGTGGAACGCGTTTTCTGAAGCGAAATGTAAAGCACCAGTTTTTACAATTCTTCCTAGAGACCAAAGCAAACATCGAAACATCTGAATCTCGATAAATCGAGTTCTCAAACAATTGAAAAATCGAAAAATAAAAAATTCGGAAAAAAGAAAAATTAAAATATACAAGAACTGAAAACTCTAAAAATTCAGAAATCGAAATATATATAAAACAGTCGAAAATTGAAAAATCTAAAGTTTAAAAAACGAAAAACTGAAAATCCAAAAAATTAAAAATCGAAAAGTCGAAAAATAGAAATATTGAAAAAACCCAAAACTGAAACAAATATCCAAAATTGAGAAATTAAAAAATTAGCCAACCGAAAAATCCAAAAATCTTCCATTCTTCGAATTCTTCGAATTGAAGAACTGAAAAATCGAAACTACGAATTCGAGAAACGGGAAAATTAAAAAATATAGATTAATTGAAAAATCGAAAAACTGAAAATGGAAATCCTGAAGAACTGGAAAATCAAAAAATCCAGAAATCGAAAAATCTAAAATCTAAAATTTATAATCAAAAAAGAAAAAATCGGAAAACTGAAAAATCGACAAATCGAAACATCGAAATTGGAAAATCGAAAAACCGAGAAATCCAAAAATCGAAACATCGAAAAGTTGAAAAAAATTGAGAAATCGAAGTATAAAACTGTCGAAAATTTGAAAACTAAAGTTTAACGAAAAATTGAAAATCCAAAAAGTAAAAAGGGGGTGGAAACCCAAAAACTGCAAACTGAAAAATTTAAAAATTGGAAAATCGACGAATTGGAATCGATTGGCCTGAAAATTTGAATAAACGAAAAATCGTAAAATCGAAAGAAACAACAAAAATTAAGGAAATGAAAAAACAAAAAATTGTGATATAAAAATCGTGGAGTTGAAAAATTGAGGGGACGAAAAATTGAAAAAGGGAAAAATTGGAAAATTTGGAAGTCGACAAACTGTAAAATTGAAAAATCAAAAATAAAAAAAACGAAATAATGTAAATATGTATAATAAAAACTTGAAAAATGTAAAAAGTGAAAATTAAACTTGAAAATTTGAAGAAAAATTGAAAAAAACCTCCAAATTAAAAAACTACAACTCGAAAAATTGAAAAATGTAGATCAAGAAACTGTAAAATTGAAAAATCAAAAGTAAAAAACGAAAAAGTATATAATGAAAACTTGAAAAATGTCAAAAGTGAAAATCAATCATGAAAATTTGAAGAAACGAAAATTTGAAAAATCGAAAGATTAAAAATTGAAAAACTTAAAATTCGAACAAGTGAAAAATAAAAAAAAAAATATGTATTGTAAAATCAAAATATTGAAAATTAAAGAAATTGAAAAATTGGAAGACTGGAAACCCAAAAACTGCAAATTGAAAAATTTTAAACGTGGAAAATCATGGAATTGAAAAATGAAAGCCTGAAAATTTGAAAAATTGAATAAATAAAAAATTGTAAATCGGAAGAAACAACAAAAAAATAAAGGAAATAAAGACACCAAAAATTGTGATATAAAATCGAGAAATTGAAACATAAAAAATCAGGAAAAATGAGAAATTGTAATATTGAAAAATTGGAAAATTTGAAAGTCGACAAATTGTAAGAAAAATCAAAAATAAAAAAAACAAAAAAGTGTATAATAAAAACTCGAAAAACGTAAAAAGTGAAACACAAACTTGAAAATTTGAAGAAAAATTGAAAAAAACCTGAAAATTTGTAAAACTGAATAAACGAAAAATTGTAAAATCGAAAGAATCAACAAAAAATAAAGGAAATGAAAAAACGAAAAATTGTGATATAAAATCGAAAAAGTGAAAATTAAAAGAAATCGGGAAAATGAAAAATTAAAATCGGAACAAAAAAATTGGAAAAGGGAAAAATTAGAAGCTGAAAAATCGAAAAATGGAAATCTGTAATATTGAAAAATTGCCAAATTGAAAAACTGATGCAAACCGAAAAATTGAAAATTTTGGAAGTCAAGAAATTGTAAAATTGAAAAATCAAAAATAAAAAACGAAAAATTACAAAATGAAAACTTGAAAAATCTTAAGGATCGAAAAAGTGTAAAATAAAAAAAAAAGAAATATGTATTATGAAATAGAAATATTGAAAATTAAAGAAATTGAAAAATCGGAAAACTGGAAATCCAAAAACTGCAATGAAACATTTAAAAATTGAAAAATAAACAAACTGAAAATTCAAAGCCTGAAAATTTGAAAAATGGAAAAATTGTAAAATCGAAAAAAAAACACAAAATAAAGGAAATGAAAATAATAATAACAATAATAAGTTTATTGTCCCACAGGTTTCCCTAATTACAGGACAAAATATAAAAAACGGACAATTGTGATATAAATCCAGAAAATAAAAATTAAAAATTCGCCACATTGAAAAATAAAAATCGGGAACATGAAAAATTGAGAAACTGAAAATTCGAAAAATTGAAAAATCGAAAGAAACAACAAGAAATAAATAAAAAAAAATTAAAATTTGTGACATAAAATCGAGAAAATGAAAATTAAAAAAATCGGGAAAATGAAAAATAAAAATCGAGAACTTGAAAAATTGAGGAAACGAAAAGTTGAAAAATCGAAAGATTAAAAATTGAAAAACTTGAAATTCGAAAAAGTGAAAAAAAAAGAAATATGTATTATAAAATCAAAATAATAATATCGAAAATTAAAGAAATTGAAAAATTAGTAGACTGAAAACCCAAAAACTCCAAATTGAAAAATCAAAGCCTGAAAATGTGAAAAAGTGAATAAATAAAAAATTGTATATCGAAAGAAACAACAAAAAAAAAAATAAAGGAAATAAAGAAACCAAAAATTGTGATATAAAATCGAGAGACATCGAGAAAACATAAAATTAGTCATTCGCCAGATGGATCTCTTTACTGCGTTATCAGCAAAAAAATATCATTTTAGAGCCTCAATTTGATCCTTTGTTAATATATTCGCCAAATTTTTCCCTAAATTTGCATTACACACTTTTCGCAAGTATAATTTCTGGCGTAATTTTTTGTTACTAATTTTTAACATTCTAACTATTTCTCTTAGCGTATCATTTTCTTTCTGTAGCGTTACATAGTCAGGTGGTTGTTTGCACTTTAGCGGTTTAGACGAAACAAATTCAGGCCAGAGAGGTTGAGAAGAAAGAGAATTATTTGACAAACTGAAAAAATTCACTGGAGAGCATACTATTTGAACTATTACTCTCCGTTGTACAGGGAAAAATTGACGGAACAGCGTTTTTCTTTCAATTTTGTCCATATATTTCCCATTGATCTTCACAGAAATGTTGGCCGCAAACTCGTCCATATTTACTCGGCGCAATGTTCATGTTGTTTAACCATAGTGCACGAAAATATGGCTTTCGTGGAATAGTTTTAAAGAAGATTCCATTTTGAGATCTATTTTTACAACTTCATATTTCTACTTCTTGACGAACGGTTATGAATGTCAAATTGAGAACATTAAAATAAAATTTCTTTTAAATACACTATTTATGTCCCACGACTGTACCTCTTGGGACAGGCCATAGTCTTTATACTAATGGGCCATGCTACTACTTTTGACATAATTTTTATCAATCAGTTTATTCTATTCCAGCGGTTGTTGTGAATGTTATGATGCATAGGTGGACCGGTTTTTTTTTTCAGATCGATCATAGGTTATTACCATTTAAGCGAGAAAGTCCACTGGAAACGCCAGCCCTTGATAATTATGACAGTCCCGATGGCGATTACCTGGATGTCTCCAAGAAGTGGGAATAGTTTTGAGTAATATTGTAATTATTTCTGTATTGTTATTCCAGTATAAAATTATAAAATTTGGACAGCAATAACTAGCAATATTTTTCAACTCGTTTGTTACTAGGCGATTAATAATCTCCACTCACGCAAGGAAAAACAAATATAACACAGCTACTAAATATAAAAATTAATATTCATAAATAATTCCTACAAAACAGCTAAAAGTGATTATAGAATACTAACAAAATGTAAAGATAATAAAAGAATGTACAACTAAAGTTTGGGTATACAAAGCGCTAGTTAATTTAGAACGTGTGGTGCGTTTGTAATACTATTTCGTGCGAATCTTCTTTTTTGGATGGGAAACGTCATACTCCAATTCATCAGGTAGTTTTAGTCCCAACTCCTTACATTTTTTTTGAAAATGTTTTAGCAGTTCAACGCCACACCTAAAACACGACAATTAGAAATACATTACTTTAACTACGAAAATTTAATACTTGTAAACGTCGTCTTCTTTATGGTTGTAGGTGTTACAATTCTGAAATACCAGCAGCGCATCTGACATAAATTGCGCGTCTTCCTGATATTCACCCATGTTAAGTTTGTACTTAATCGTCCCAAAATCCATGGGTTTTGTTATAACATCATAATAATCAGGTACTTCAGTCTTTTGAACAGGTCGTAAAAACGGCCAAGCGTTGTAATCCTTCATGATTTCTGCTAATACTGCATGTAATGCTGAATTGTGTAACGGTAAGTCAGATCGTCCATCGTCCCTTCTACTTGATCTTTTGCTAATAACTTCATCTTCACTTGAATCTAGAGAAAATCACTGATTAATTAGAGTCGCCTGCAATAATTTAACTGAATAACAAAAAATATAAAATCGAAAATGTCAACTACAGTGTGCTCATTCTGGTGACAACAAAGAACGAAGATACCAATAATTTGCTGCTATGCAGGAACAAGTAGCACAAAAATTTCATCGCTATTGTAAAATCGTAAACCACTAAAGCACACTGAGTAGGTTGAATTAGAAGAACAGAAAGGAGATGAGGAAAATAGAAAGAGTTCGAGAGAGTGTATGTGAAAGAGAGCAATAAGCAAGCAAAACTTTGAATGTACTATATATAAAAGTTGTAAAACCGCACTCCTAAATTTTCAAAATTTGTAATGTCTCGCTTAGGGTTTAATCCGTTATAACAATGTCAGTATTATTTTTGACAAAGGCAGTCTTAGGTATTTTTTTAAAATGCCACAGGAAGAAACTACAAAAATTTTACCATTTTACACATGTTTTAAGCTTCTTGTTGAAATAAGTCTACACATTTTAAGTAAAAAGACAAAATGTAGCCCCGGGTGGGCCCTATCTCAATTATGATTTTTTTTATTCGTCGTGAAACAAGAAGGCGGAGCTTAACTGGAAAATCCTTATTTCTCCACGAGAAATTAAAAACATGTTTTTGAGTATCGTGTTGTTCAAAGAACACTATGTATATTAAGAAAACAATAAAGCAAAAGATTAGACCCACCCATATCCGCTCCGATCTCAATTCTCAATTGTGATGAATTTTTCATTCGTTGTCAGATTGAGGGGAGGAGCTTAATTACAAGATCCGTATTTGTCTACAAGAATTTACCATTTTAAACACGTTTTAAGTTTCTTGTTCTGAAAAGACGACTACGTATATTCAGAAAACAGGCAAAATATAAGCCCCTCCCCCCGCCCGCCCTATCTCAATTGTGGTGATTTTTTTCTAATCGAGTGAGTATCGTATTATTCAAAGAATACTATGTATATTAAGAATAAATTAAAGCCAAAGATTAAGCCCCACCCATACCTGCCCAAATCTAAATAGTAATGAAGTTTTCATTCGTTGGTAGACCTAGGGGTGGAGCCTAATTGCAAAATTCATACATATGTCCTTACAAAAATTTACTATTTTAAACGTGATTTAAGTTTCTAAGAATAAAAAAAAAAAATCATCACAATTGAGATGGGGTGGGTGGGCGGGGTTTATGCTCTGCCTTTTTTTCTTAATATACATAGTTGTGTTTGAACAATACGATACTGAAAAACACGTTTTTAATTTCTTGCAAAGAATAAAGTATTTTGCAGATAAGCTCCGCCCCCTTGGTTCACGGCGAATAAAAAATCATTACAATTGAGATAGGGCGGGTGGGCGGGCTTTCACTTTGACTTTTTGTTTTAATATATGAAGACTTCTTTTTAGAACATGAAACTTACATGTTTAAAATAGAACATTTGTATATTTCAATTAGGCTCCGCCCCATAATTGCAAAATCCAGATTTCCTTGCAAAAATGTACCATTTTAACTTCTTTTTTTTCTTGTTTTGAAAAGATGGCTGTGTATATTAAAAAAAAAAAAAAAAACAGAAAATCTAAGCCCCGCCACCTGCCTTATCTCAATTCTGATGATTTTTTTATTCGTCGTAAGCCGAGGGCGGAGCTTAATTATTTTAATAGTAAAATCCTTATTTTTTTTTACGAAAAATTACCATGTGACACATGTTCTTAAGTAATCCTGTTATACAGAGAAAACTAAATGTATTAATTAAAAAAGAAAACCAAAAGAGAAGCCCCACCCATCCGTCTCAATTCTCAATTATGATGAATTTTTCATTCGTTGTCAGATCGAGGGGCGGGGCTTAATTGCAATATCCATATTTGTCTTCAAGAATTTAAAATTTTAAATATGATTTAAGTTTCTTGTTCTGAAAAGACGACTATGTAAACAAACTATAAGCCCCGCCCACCCACCCTATTAAAATTGTTATGATTTTTTTTTATCATCGAGAGCCAAAGGAGCGGAATTTATGCAAAATCCTTAGTATTTCTCTACAAGAAATTACCGTGTAAGACATGTTTTCCGAGTATCGTGATTAAAAAAAAATACTATGTATATTAAGAAAAAATTTAAAGCCAAAGATTAAACCTGCCCTGATCTAAATAGTAATGAAGTTTTCATTCGTTGGTAAACCTAGGGGCGGAGCCTAATTGCAAAATCCGTATTTCCTTACAAAAATTTACCATTTTAAACGTGATTTAAGTTTCTAAGAATAAAAAAAATCATCACAATTGAGATGGGGTGGGTGGGCGGGGTTTATGCTTTGCCTTTTTTTCTTAATATACATAGTAGTGTTTGAACAATGCGATACTCAAAAACATGTTTTTAATTTCTTGCAAAGAATTAAGTATTTTGCAGTTAAGCTCCGCCCCCTTGGTTCACGGCGAATAAAAAAAATCATTACAATTGGGCGGGCTTTCATTTTGAGTTTTTGTTTTAATATATGTAGACTTCTTTTCACAACAGGAAACTTAAAATATGTGTAAAATAGAAAATTTGTATAAGAAAATATCGATCCATATTTCCTTGCCAAAATGTCTCATTTAAACCGTATGTTTCAAGTTTCTTGCTGTGAAAAAATGGCTATGAATATTAAGAAAAAAGGCAAAACGTAAGCCCCGCCCACCCGCCCTATCTCAATTCTGATGATTTTTTTTTATTCGTCGTGAGCCAAAGGGGTGAAGCTTAATTGCAAAATCCTTATTTCTCTACGAAAAATTAAACACATGTTTTTGAGTATCGTGTTGTTCAAAGTACACTACGTATATTAAGAAAAAAATAATGCCAAAGATTAGGCCCCACCCATATCCGCCCCGATCTCGACTCTCAATTGTGATGAATTTCTCATTCGTTGGCACACTTAGGGGCGGAGCCTAATTGCAAAATCCATATTTCCTTACAAAAATTCACCATTTTAAACGTGTTTTATGTTTCTAAGAATAAAAAAAAAATCATCAGAATTGAGATGGGGTGGTTGGGGGGGAAATATTTTACCTTTTTTTCTTAATATACAGGGTGTCCCTTTTATTTGATACAACCCCTGTAACTTTTTTATTCTTGAAGATAAACCTGTAGTTCTTTAACCAAATTTGTATCATTTTCAAAGATTTATATGATGGTGAGCACACATTTTTATTATCACTTGCGGTAGAACCGGAAATGACGTCAACTTATTTTTTTTTAATGGAACACTAGGTATATTTTTGCATAAATGGAAAGATTGATTTTTTTACTAGAAAAAATCAAAAGCAACCAATATTGTAAAATCAATAATAAAAAAGTTATTTATTAAAATATCTCCAAAATTTTCCGTTTATTTCAAAATCTAGTTGCTTGAAAAACAATTGAAAAATTGTTGCCATCACATAGATCTTTTAAAATCATACAAATTTGGTCAAAGAACTACAGATTTATCTTTGAAAATAAAAAAGTTACAGTGGTTTTATCAAATAAAAGAGACACCCGGTATGTACTTAGTATTCTTTAAAGAACACGATACTCAAAAACATGTTTTTAATTTCTTGTAAAAAATAAGTATTTTGCAGTTAATATCTGCCACAATTGAGATAGGGCGGGTGGGCGGGCTTACATCTTGCCTATTTGTTTTAATATGTGTAGACTTCTTTTCACTACATGAAACTTACAACATGTTTAAAATGAAAAATTTGTATAAGGAAATATCGATTTTACAATTAAGCTCATAATTGCAAAATCCATATTTCCTTGCAAAAATGTACCATTGTTTTAAGTTTTGTATTGTGAAAAGGCTAAATATAAGCCCCGCCCACTCGCCCTATTTCAATTCAGATGATTTTTTTATCCGTTGTTAAGCCGAGGGGCGGAGCTTAATTGTAAAATCCTTATTTTTCTACGAGAAATTACCATGTGAAATATATTCTTAAGCAATCGTGTTGTACAAAAAAAACTAAATGTATTAATTAAAAAAGAAAACCAAAAGGGAAGCCCCACCCATCCGTCTCGATCTCAATCCTGATGAATTTTTCATTCGTTGTCAGACCGAGGGGCGGAGCGTAATTGCAAAATTGCTGTTTCTCGATACAAATTTTTTCTATTATTTTTGTTATCAGTGTTGACGTGATGACACTTGGACAATTCACGACAAAGGTTGTTAAATAAAGGATATCGATATAAAAAAAGGTTTCTAAATAACACTTTCCAATATAATTAGATTTTTTTGTAAAAAAAACAACTTCAAAATTTGAAAAATTTAAGAGGTGAGAAAAAAATAAAATCAAGAAATTAACACAATCGAAAAACTACAATCGAAACATTTCAAAATTTAAAAACTGGATAAATAAGTGAGAAATTGTAATATTGAAAAATGGAAATGAAAAACTGAAAACTAAAAAATTGAAAAATCAAAAAAACGAAAAACTGAAATAAATGAAAAATTTTAAATTAAAATTCTGATAATCGAAAAGACTAAAAAACCGAAACATTGAAAACTCAAGAAATAAAGAAACGGAAAAATCGAAAAGCAGAAATTAAAAATTGAAAAACTGAAAACTCAAAACACTAAAAAATCGAAATGAAAAATCAAAAAATTGTAAAACAGAATCACTGAAAAATTGAATCGCAGATATTTTGAAAATTGATATATCGGAAGTTAGAGAAATTGAAAACTGAAAAAGCGAAACACTGAAAAATCGAAAAATTGAAAAAATAAAATTCGAAAGATTAAAAAATAAAATATTGAAAACTGGAAGATTTGAAAAATTTAAAGAATAGAATAACTTTAGAAACGAAAACCAGAGAAACTTTAAAAAATCGAAAATTTGAAGAATTGAAGCACTTAAAAATTTAATCATTTAAATAAAAAATAAAATTTTGAAAAAATAGAGAAAATTAAAAATCAAAGTCATCGGGGCGGAGTTTAATTGCAAATCCTTAAGAAACTGTAATATCGAAAAATTGCAACTCGAAAAATTGAAAAATTTAGAAATCAAAAAACTGTAAAATTGGAAAATCAAAAATAAAAAAACGAAAAAGTATATAATGAAAACTTGAAAAATGTCAAAAGTGAAAATCAAACACGAAAATTTGAAGTGTTTTATCTTTCTAAGAATAAAAAAAATCATCAGAATTGAAATGGGGTACTTGGAGTGGTAAATATTTTACCTTTTTTTCTTAATATATGTATTCTTTAAAGAACACGATACTCAAAAACATGTTTTTAATTTCTCGTAAAGAAATAAGTATTTTGCAGTTAATATCTGCCACAATTAAAATTCTGATAATCGAAAAGACTAAAAAACCGAAACATTGAAAACTCAAGAAATAAAGAAACGGAAAAATCGAAAAGCAGAAATTAAAAATTGAAAAACTGAAAAATCAAAACACTAAAAAATCGAAATGAAAAATCAAAAAATTGTAAAACAGAATCACTGAAAAATTGAATCGCAGATATTTTGAGAATTGATATATCGGAAGTTAGAGAAATTGAAAACTGAAAAAGCAAAACACTGAAAAATCGAAAAATTGAAAAAATAAAATTCGAAAGATTAAAAAATAAAACTAGAAGATTTGAAAAATTTAAAGAATAGAATAACTTTAGAAACGAAAACCAGAGAAACTTTGAAAAATCGAAAATTTGAAGAATTGAAGCACTTAAAAATTTAATCATTTAAATAAAAAATAAAATTTTGAAAAAATAGAGAAAATTAAAAATCGGAGTCATCGGGGCGGAGGTTAATTGCAAATCCTTATTTCTCTACAAGAAATAAAAAACATGTTTTTGAGTATCGTGTTATTCAAAGAATACTATGTATATTAATGAAAAAAGAAGTCAAAAATTAAACCCCACCCATATCCATCCCAAGTTCAATTGCGATGAATTTTTCATTCGTTGTCAGACCGAGGGGCGGAGCCTAATTGCAAAATCGATACTTTCCAACAAAAATTGACCATTTTAAACATGTTTTACCTTTCTTGTTGTGAAAAGAAGACTACACATATTAAGAAAAAATGGCAAAATGTAAGCCCTTGTAGCTATAATACCTAATCTGTTGATTTAAACGTCGAGAACTATCTTTAACAATGCATAAGTACTGACAGAAAGCTACAGGGTAGAAAATGATGGCAGCTATTTAAAATATGAGGGTTTCAGTAAACAAGTGATTAAACGGCTTAATATTAGTGGACCTCATTATCCTATCAAGTTGGCAGCACTGCACATAACTTACAACAGCAACGTCAGCGACAAGTTTATAAATCGACCTTAGAACAGCCGCGACTGTACATTTAAAACCAGGTTTTGTATGCGAATAAACATAAATATGATTGACAAGTAATTAACAATCACAACATTACTCTCTTGAACTTTTTAAGAAAACAAAATCCTTGTGTGTGAAAATACGAAATCAATTTGAGGAAAACGGAAGTTCGTAACTGTTGTTTATTACAATGAGCAACATATTTAACTATGTCGAGTTTGTGTTTGTCAATCACATTATTTGAGCTTATGCATTTATCAGAAAAAAATATATTGCCCCGCCACTGGTTACGAGTGGCAAACATTTAGAGGGCGGAGCTTAGCCAGTCAAGTCTTTGCCACAAAATTCACAACACCTTCTCTCCGGTCTCTTCCACCTCCGTGCTACAACTAATAATCTTTGAATTGTCGGTTTTACTTTTAATTGAAACTGAAAGTGTTTACATCGTTTTTATTCGAACTGTTAACTGTTTAGGTGGATCAGTGGCATCACATCGAGGGTAGTGCGTGGGGTTTCTGCCCCATTCGACTTTTAATTTGTTTTCTATATTTCCACATTACTACCGTACGTGATGCCGTGAATTATTATAAGTGTAGTTATGAATTTGAAACCCCTCACCAATTAACCATTCTCATTAGCGAATTAGAGAACATTGAAAAGATTTTGAAAAACGGAAATAAGTCGTTACCTAAACTGTTCATATAATGTAATCAAATGAGACACGTAAAATTAATGATATGGTGTTAAATAAAGCATGAATCGGGTTAGCAAAGCCAATGTGGGGAGCTTTGAAAAACCCACCGTCAGATTCTGACAGTTGTCGTAGACTCTTTGCAAAGTCGTGGATCTTGTACAAGGCTTGTGCAGCACAGCGGCGCTGGCCATTCATTTTTCCAGTGCGCTGTACCACCACACCATTCGTTTTGCTCAGGTCTGTGTATCGTATTACCAAGACGTTGAAAAATTTCTGTATAAAAATTAAACATTCAAACTCACCGTGATGTCTTTTTCTATCATTACTTTTCTTACAAGACGTACAAAGCCACGAGCCTCTCGGAGCGTGTCGCAGTGGAGGTTCCACGCATTCAATGTGATAACAACTGGAACATTTCTCGCAACTTATTACTTCGCCACCGGAACCGCACGTTTTACAAAGATCTACTTTGCCGGCCACAACCCTAAAAGTAATTTTCCGGTGAGATTAGAAAATAGAGGATTTGGTTAATGTAACATTTCATCACTGTCGTTTTGCTCCTCCTCTTCATCAACTTCTTCAATGTCGGTGTTTGCAGTATCATTATTTTGTGTTTCTTGTTCAGATCCTTCTTCTTCATTTTCTTCGTCTCTAAATATAGGACGTTTTTTCGCGGGTTCTACGACTACTGGTACTTCCGGTTTTCGCTCTTTTTGACATTTATTACAAAACCAGTCACCTTTGGGCACACTCTGTAACAAGTGGTAAAATATTTTATTTAATAAATCTAAAACAAAAACAAGAAAATCTTATTGTTTCAATTTCTGCAGCAATTTCAACAGTTAAAATGATCAAATTTTCATTACTCTGCCGCTTTTATCATCACTCTGTTACTAGTATTATCCATTCACGATCTTTATATAGTAGATCAGGTTTTGATATTTTTTCTTTAAGTTGGATAAACTGATTTGATGGTTTAGTTTTTTGTCTGTCAGTAGTCTGATTGACATTTGCTTTGAGATGGATTGCCACTTTTCTACTTCATTGTGGATTGTAAAAACCGAAAGTTCAAAAAACGAATAGTAAATAGTCGAGAAATCGAAAAATCCAAAAGTCGAAATACTAAAAAATCCCAAAATTAAAAAATCGAAAAACTGAGAAAACTCACAAAATTGAACGAAATATCCAAAAATTGGGAAATTAAAAAATTGAAAAATTGAGGAACTGAAAAACTGAAAAATCGAAACCTTGGCAAGTCGAAAATGGGGAAATGGGATAATAAAAAAAATAATTGAAAAATCGGGAAACTGAAAATTTAGCAACGTCAAAATTTGATAAATTGGAAAATAGAAATACTGAAGAACTGGAAAATAAAAAAATCCAGAAATCGAAAAATCTACAATTTAAAACACTGAACAATTGAAATATGGCAAAATTGAAAAACGGAGAAACCAACATCAAAGAATCAAGAAAGAAAAATTCGAAAATTTAAAACATAAAAATCGAAAAACTGAAAAATCGACAAATCGAAACTCCAGAATTTAAAAAAATTGAAAAATCGGATAACTGAAAAATCGAAACATCGAAAAATTGGAAAATCGAAAAACCGAGAAATCCAAAAATCGAAACATCGAGAAATAGAAAAAAATTGATAAATTGATAAATTAAACAATTAAAGCATCCAAACATCCGAATTCGATAAATCGAAAAATAAAAAAATTGAAAAACTTTAAAAAAGAAAAATTAAAACATCGAAAAGTTGAAAAAAATTGATAAATCGAAGTATAAAACTGTCGAAAATTTGAAAAATCTAAAGTTTAACGAAAAATTGAAAATCCAAAAAGTAAAAACGGGGTGGAAACCCAAAAACTGCAAACTGAAAAATTTTAAAATTGGAATCGATTGGCCTGAAAATTTGAATAAACTAAACTAAAAATTGGAAAATCGAAAAAAAAAAAAAAACAACAAAAATTAAGGAAATGAAAAAACAAAAAACTGTGATATCAACTCGGGAAAACGAAAAATAAAAAGTCAGGAACATGCAAAATAAAAATCGGGGAGTTGAAAAATTGAGGGGACGAAAAATTGAAAAAGAGAAGAATTAAAAATCGAGAATGTGAAAAATAAAAAAAAAAACCGAAAAAGTGTATAATAAAAAGTTGAAAAATATAAAAGGTGAAAATCAAACTTAAAAATTTGAAGAAAAATTGAAAAAAACCTGAAAATTTGAAAAGTTGAATAAACGAAAAATTGTGATATAAAATCGAAAAAGTGAAAATTAAAAAATCGGGAAAATGAAAAACTGCCAAATTGAAAAACTGATGCAAACCGAAAAATTGAAGGAACAAAAAATTTAAAATTTTGGAAGTCGAGAAATTGTAAAATTGAAAAATCAAAAATGTACATATAAGAAACAACAAGAAATAAAGGAATTGAAAAAATTAAAAATTGTGACATAAAATCGGGAAAATGAAAAATAAAAATCGAGAACGAAAAATTGAAAATGACAAAAATTAAAAACTGAGAATGTGAAAAATCGCAAAATGTGAAACTGTAATATCGAAAAATTGCAAAATTAAAAAACTGCAACTCGAAAAATTGAAAAATGTAGATCAAGAAACTGTAAAATTGAAAAATCAAAAATAAAAAAACGAAAAAGTATATAATGAAAACTTGAAAAATGTCAAAAGTGAACATCAAACATGAAAATTTGAAGAAACGAAAATTTGAAAAATCGAAAGATCAAAAATTGAAAAACTTAAAATTCGAACAAGTGAAAAATCAAAATAAAAAAATATGTATTGTAAAGTCAAAATATTGAAAATTAAAGAAATTGAAAAATTGGAAGACTGGAAACCTAAAAACTGCAAATTGAAAAATTTTAAACGTGGAAAATCATGGAATTGAAAAATCAAAGCCTGAAAATTTGAAAAATTGAATAAATAAAAAATTGTAAATCGGAAGAAACAACAAAAAAATAAAGGAAATAAAGAAACCAAAAATTGTGATATAAAATCGAGAAAATGAAACATAAAAAATCGGGAAAAATGAGAAATTGTAATATTGAAAAATTGGAAAATTTGAAAGTCGACAAATTGTAAGAAAAACCAAAAATAAAAAACCAAAAAAGTGTATAATAAAAACTCGAAAAACGTAAAAAGTGGAACAAAAACTTGAAAATTTGAAGATAAATTGAAAAAAACCTGAAAATTTGTAAAATTGAATAAACGAAAACTTGTAAAATCGAAAGAACCAACAAAAAATAAAGGAAATGAAAAACGAAAAATTGTGATATAAAATCGAAAAAGTGAAAATTAAAAAATCGGGAAAATGAAAAACTGTAATGTTGAAAAATTGCCAAATTGAAAAATTGATGCAAACCGAAAAATTGAAGAAACAAAAAATTGAAAATTTTGGAAGTCGACAAATTGTAAAATTGAAAAATCAAAAATAAAAAACGAAAAATTACAAAATGAAAACTTGAAAAAACTTAAGAATCGAAAAAGTGAAAAATCAAAAAAAAAAAAGAAATATGTATTATGAAATAGAAATATTGAAAATTAAAGAAATTGGAAAATCGAAGGACTGGAAATCCTGCAAAGTGAAAAATTTTAAAATTGAAAAATCGACGAACTGAAAATTCGAAGCCTGAAAATTTGAAAAATTGAACACATGAAAAATTGTAAAATCGAAAAAAAAAAACAGAAAATAAAGGAAATGAAAAAACCGACAATTGTGATATAAATCGAGAAAATAAAAATTAAAAATTCGCCACATCGAAAAATAAAAATCGGGGACATGAAAAATTGTGGAAAGGAAAAATTGAGAAATTGAGAAACTGAAAATTCGAAAAATTGAAGAAACGAAAATTTGAAAAATCGAAAGATTAAAAATTGAAAAACTTAAAATTCGAAAAAGTGAAAAATAAAAAAAAAGAAATATGTATTGTAAAATCTAAATATTGAAAATTAAAGAAATTGAAAAATTGGAAGACTGGAAACCCAAAAACTGCAAATTGAAAATTTTTAAACGTGGAAAATCATGGAATTGAAAAATGAAAGCCTGAAAATTTGAAAAATTGAATAAATAAAAAATTGTAAATCGAAAGAAACAGCAAAAAAATAAAGGAAATAAAGAAACCAAAAATTGTGATATAAAATCGAGAAAATGAAACAAAAAAAATCAGGAAAAATGAGAAATTGTAATATTGAAAAATTGGAAAATTTGAAAGTCGACAAATTGTAAGAAAAACCAAAAATAAAAAAACAAAAAAGTGTATAACAAAAACTCGAAAAACGTAAAAAGTGGATCAAAAATTGAAAATTTGAAGATAAATTGAAAAAAAAACTGAAAATTTGTAAAATTGAATAAACGAAAAATTGTAAAATCGAAAGAATCAACAAAAAATAAAGGAAATGAAAAACGAAAAATTGTGATATAAAATCGAAAAAGTGAAAATTAAAAAATCGGGAAAATGAAAAACTGTGATGTTGAAAAATGGATGCAAACCGAAAATTTGAAGAAACAAAAAACTGAAAATTTTGGAAGTCGAGAAATTGTAAAATTGAAAAATCAAACATAAAAAACGAAAAATTACAAAATGAAAACTTGAAAAATCTTAAAAATCGAAGAAGTGAAAAATAAAAAAAAAAAAAAGAAATATGTATTATGAAATAGAAATATTGAAAATTAAAGAAATTGGAAAATCGGAGGATTGGAAATCCTGCAAAGTGAAAAATTTTAAAATTGAAAAATCGACGAATTGAAAATTCGAAGCCTGAAAATTTGAAAAATTGAACAAATGAAAAATTGTAAAATCGAAAAAAAAAAACAGAAAATAAAGGAAATGAAAAAACGGACAATTGTGATATAAATCGAGAAAATAAAAATTAAAAATTCGCCACATTGAAAAATAAAAATCGGGGACATGAAAAATTGTGGAATGGAAAAATTGAGAAATTGAGAAACTGAAAATACGAAAAATTGAAGAAACGAAAATTTGAAAAATCGAAAAATTAAAAATTGAAAAACTTAAAATTCGAAAAAGTGAAAAATAAAAAAAAAGAAATATGTATTGTAAAATCAAAATATTGAAAATTAAAGAAATTGAAAAATTGGAAGACTGGAAACCCAAAAACTGCAAATTGAAAAATTTTAAACGTGGAAAATCATGGAATTGAAAAATGAAAGCCTGAGAATTTGAAAAATTGAATAAATAAAAAATTGTAAATCGAAAGAAACAACAAAAAAATAAAGGAAATAAAGAAACCAAAAATTGTGATATAAAATCGAGAAAATGAAACATAAAAAATCAGGAAAAATGAGAAATTGTAATATTGAAAAATTGGAAAATTTGAAAGTCGACAAACTGTAAGAAAAACTCGAAAAACGTAAAAAGTGAAACAAACTTGAAAAATTGAAGAAAAATTGAAAAAAACCTGAAAATTTGTAAAATTGAATAAACGAAAAATTGTAAAATCGAAAGAATCAACAAAAAATAAAGGAAATGAAAAACGAAAAATTGTGATATAAAATCGAAAAAGTGAAAATTAAAAAATCGGGAAAATGAAAAATTAAAATCAGAAACAAAAAATTGGAAAAAGGAAAAATTAAAAATTGAGAAACTGAAAAATCGAAAAATGAAAAACTGTAATATTGAGAAATTGCCAAATTGAAAAACTGATGCAAAGCGAAAAATTGAAGGAACGAAAAATTAAAAAATTTTAAGAATCGAAAATGTGAAAAATAATAAAAAAAAAGAAATATATATTATGAAATAGAAATATTGAAAATTAACGAAATTGGAAAATCGGAAGACTGGAAATCCAAAAACTGCAAAGTGAAAAATTTAGAAAAATGGACAAACTGAAAATTCGAAGCCTGAAAATTTGAAAAATTGTAAAAAAAAACACAGGACAATTGCGTTATAAATCTAGAAAATAAAAATTAAAAATTCGCCACATTGAAAAATAAAAATCGGGAACATAAATAGTGGAAAGGAAAAATTGAGAAACTGAAAATTCGAAAAATTGAAAGAAACAACAGGAAATAAACGAATTGAAAAAATTCAAATTTGTGACATAAAATCGAGAAAATGAAAATTAAAAAAATCGTAAAAATGAAAAATTAAAATCGAGAACTTGAGAAATTGAGGAAACGAAAAATTAAAAACTGAGAATGTGAAAAATCAAAAAAAAAAGAAACTGTAATATCGAAAAATTGCAGAATTAAAAAATTGCAACTCCAAAAATTGAAAAATTTAGAAGTCAAGAAACTGCAAAATTGAAAAATCAAAAATAAAAAAACGAAAATCAGGACATTTCAAATGGGATGAAAACTCTCCCAAACCAGGCCGAGTGATACCGCTAATAAAAACTCTTTTGTCCAAAAATATTACTTATACAAAAAATAAGATACCATTGAAAATGATCTTCAAGTACATCAAGATTCTCATTCTATATAGAATTATAAAATTTATTAGATACTTTAAAACATTTCAATGGATATCAAACATTATAACGAATATAAAATAAAAAATAAATAAATACCTTTAACTTCGGCTTCAGACAATATAAATGATGCCCTAAATTGCAAGAGTCGCAAAGGAGCATATTTTCGGAATCGTGCCGTCTCCGACAAACTCTGCATTTCGTCAGCAGAACGGATTTCCCCCACATCACACACGAATCTAGCGTACTGTAATGTAAAAATATTTGACTGAAACTCGTAGAAGCTAACAAGGATTGTTCCCATAAGTCAAGAATGGAACTTTTGACTTTGTCACTGCGAGCATTACCCATACGACCCAGCGGTTTTTTCAGAAATTTAGTCACCACGGATCGACCTACTTGTGCCAACGCAACTGATAAACTTTGAATCGCTTCTTGAATTTCGTCTTTCATAACCAAATGAACGTCGTTGTTGTCAATGTCTGGAACGAAATCGGACGTAGAACTCAAAAACTGACCCGGGTATTCGTAGTCGGGTAATTCGGCAACCTCATCTGATTGAACAAGATCTGAATCTTCCTCAACGTTATTTTTATGCAAGGTTTTGTCAAGTTCTTTGTAATTTTTATTTTGAAGACAATTTCTCCATTTTTCCCTGTCTTTAACAGACAAAGTTCCCAGGTTTCCAGCGAAGAGTTTTTCTTCCATTTCTAGGATATTTTCAATTAACGAATTGTGCAATATATCCGTCGGATTCATATCATTAGGATATCCCAAATTTGCGTTCTCATATTTCGCTTTACTTGACTTTTTTATACAATTACTGTCTTCCTCTTTGCATGGAAGTCCCATATTTAAAGTAGGAACTGGTGTGCTCATGATTGACCTTTCAATTTCATCATTATTGTTCTTTAAATTTTGTTGAAGTTCACTTTCACGGACACCTCGTTTGTTCAAAGATCCACACAATTGATGAAACGTATTAATGTCATGGTAAAAACACCACCTGTCCCTCTTTACTGACGACGAGTGTACAAAACAAGTTGTTGGATCAGCAGAACACACCAGTAGTTCGCTGTAGAGATCAGTTTTTTGTTCCCGAGAACCGTTAAGTACTCCGTTAATTTTTTTCGGACTCTTCAATGGGCTGTTTTCTTTATCACTGGAATTTGAGTCTTGCATAGTCTGTTTGATGTATGCCAAAGTTTCGTCACGACCTGCGTTCACTAAGCTAGGGACTTGTTCAACAACATTGTTCAAGCATATTCCAGTATTTTCTTCTTCAAAGTTAACGAAAAAACCGGGAACTGACTCTAAGTTCAAATACTGTCGGAAGGCTCTGTCTTGCCTACAAAATATACAAATACGGTAATTAGTCTAAATAATTGTGATAATTTTTACAACTTACCCCATAAGAATCTGTTTTTCATATGCTGCTTTCCGCAACTCCTCCAACTTGCTTTCATTCTGTGCCCGTTTCTTACTATTTTCGATTTCAAGCTTTTCCAGTTCACTTTTTACGTTCGGATCCGCCTTCAGCAATTTTTTCAACTTATACCTAGCTGTTAAAAATTCCTGTTCTCGTCGCTTTTCAGCAACCAACGCTAATTTGTAATCCGCTTTCGCTTGTTTATCTTTTTCTATACGTTCTTCTACGATATCTCTCACATCGGCGTACGTCAAGAGCTGGTTAATCAAACATGATAAAATTTTCAGTTTATCGCCAACAGGGAGTTCCACAACATTATGTGTTTTAAGGGCTTCCAGTATATGCGGACTGTGTAATTTAAGATGCAATCCTGGATCGTCTTCACTGGTGTAACCACCTCTTTGTTGATAACGCCATCTAGCGCCCGTGTTATTAATGATAGCACCGGATGCCAAAAGATGCAATCTTAAGACTTCTGAGGTAGTAAGAGAGTAAAGAGGCAGGCGACCAAGCGGGACTCCTTGATACTTCCTACTCCACGTAGAGGCAATTGTTGCTAGACGAGTAGCTTCTCGTACATTCATATTATCACAATCTTCTTCTCGCTTAATACTTGAGGGATTTTCGGTTTCTGTTCTGTACTGAGAAGCTTCTTGATCTTGTACATGAAATAATGCGATAAGAAACATTTGTATCAGATCTATTAATGGGCCTGCTACCTGCAACGAAATTAAAATATGTTAGGTGTTACCAGTGTAGCAAAATCAAGTAAAAAAAAAAACATCTTTTAAGACATGAATTTACAGATTGAGAAGCGTTAATTCTTTCGACTCACCCTATTCAAGAAATTCAAAAAAATATTAAGTGCTAGCCCCGCCCACCCGCCCCTATTTTCTCAGAGGATATGTCATTTGCCAAAATAAGACTTATCAAGTACTACCCTCTGAGAAAATAAAGGGCGAATGAGCGGGGTAGGACTTGCTAACACAAGTCTTATTTTTGCGAATGACATATCCTCTGAGAAAATAGGGGGCGGGTGGGTGGGCCTAGTGCTTGGTAAGATAAGACTGATTTTGGCACATGACATATTCCCTGGGAAAATAGGGGGCGGGTGGGCGGGTCTAGTATTTGTTAAGATACTGTTTTTTAGATTTGCCTATACAGGTGGTGCAAAAATAATAATGAATGTGTCATTTTAATTTTCACCGAAAATATCTCCTTCAAAATATTGTACATACTACTGCATATCTGGTATTTATTGCATATAAATGCACATTTATAGATAATTTCCCTTATTTACTTTTTTTATTATTGGAAAATTTTCCGCAATTTAGTTTTTTAGATTTTGGTTAGAGGAAAGTTGAATCTTGTGTGGTTTCCAATCCTTGAGAAATTTTTATAAAATTATTGAATTTTTGATCAACGGTGTCTTCAGCAGAAAAATATTACATTGACATTATTAGGAGTCTCACCATGGCCAACTTCATTAATCTCTAATAAATTTTTCATTCGTTGTCAGACGAGGGGCGGAGCGTAATTGCAAAACTTACATTTCGCTACAAAAATTTACCATTTTAAATATGTTTTAAGTTTCTTCTCGTGGAAAGAGGATTGCGTATATTAAGAAAAAGAGAGTTATAAATCGTGAAACAAATCTCCATTTTTCCTGTTTTGTTTCTTCAAGTTTTCCACTTTCAATTTCAAGTTTTCAATTTTGCGTTTCCTCAATTTAGAAATTTTCTACATTTCGATTTTTCGACTAGATTTTTTCAATTTTTAGAATTTTTAATTCTGCAATTTTCCAACTTCAGTTTTAGATTTCTCAGTTTTTCGATTTTACAAATTTTAGATTGTTCAGTTCTCTATTTGGAATTATTCTAGTTTTCAATTTTAAATTGTATCAATTTTTCGATTTCTCAACTTTTGGATGCTTAAATTTTTTCATTTTTGATTTTTCGTTTTTTCCTAGTTTTCTATTTTTATTTTGCAATTTATCGTGTTTCCCATTTTTGGAGATTTCAAAATACGAATTTTCCAATTTCTTGATTGTTCGGGGTTTCCAACTTGGATCTTCAATTTTTCAATTTAGAAATTTTCTAGTTTTGAATTTAAAATCTTTCAACTTGAATTTTGCAATTATCGATTTCTCAATTTTTCGATTTTCTAATTTCTCGAATTTTCTTTCAACTGTGAGATTTTTCGGTGTTTCAATTTTACAATTTTTAGATTTCTCAAGCTTTGAATGTTTAAATCTAATTTGTCAATTATTCCATTTTTCGGCTTTTTCACTTTGCTATTTGTATTTTGCAGTTTTTCGAGTTTTTCATTTTTGGAGTTTTCAAAATCCGATTTTTTTCAATTTCTCGGTTTTTGCTATTTTGTTTCTTCAAGTTTTCGACTTGGAATTGTAAGTTTTCAATTTCCAAGTTTTCGTTTCTTTATTTTTTCGATTTAGAAATTTTTTAGCATTCAGTAAATTGGTATAAATATTTCAACTTAAAATTTTTATTTATCTACAAACTTTTGCATTTTTCAGTTTCTCGATTAACTTTTTAAATTTTTTGCAAATTTTTCATTTCTTCAATTTTTCGGTTTTTAAACGTTTCAATTCGTAACTTTTCGATTTCACAATTTTTCAATCCTATTTTCCAAAACATATATTTCGCTACAAGAATTTACCATTTTAAGCATGTTTTAAGTTTCTTCTTGTAAAAAGCTCACTGCGTATATTAAGAAAAACAGAGGCAAAACATAAGCCCCGCCCACCCACCCTATCTCAATCGTGATGATTTTTTACTATTCGTCATGAGTTAAGGGGCGGACCTTAATTGCAAAATCCTTATTTCTTTACATGTGAAACAAGTACTTAAGTCATTGCGTTGTTCAAAGAAAACTATGTATATGTATTATATAAAAAAGAAAGTAAAAACAGTATATTGTATGCATAAAAACATTACTATTTAAATATGACCTCACCTATCCTGACCTGACTTGACCTCTGTATTGTCTCAAATATTTTTTTTAAAACATTTCCGTGAATAAATAAAATGCAAAAAGTACACACAGTTATAAGTCGTGAAACAAATCTACATTTTTCCAATTTTGTTTCTTCAAGTTTTCAATTTTGCGTTTCCTCAATTTAGAAATTTTCTACTTTTCATTTCTCAATTTTTCAACTTGAACTTGATAGTTTTTCGACTAGATTTTTTCATTTTTCATTTTTTTTTTGAATTTTTAATTCTGCAATTTTCCAACTTCAGTTTTAGATTGCTCAATTTTTCGATTTTTCTGTCAACTGTGAGGTGTTTCAGTGTTTCGATTTTACAAATTTTAGATTGTTCAATTCTCTATTTGGAATTATTCTAGTTTTCAATTTTAAATTTTATCCATTTTTTGATTTCTCAACTTTTGAATACTTAAATTTTTTCATTTTTCTGTTTTTTCGTTTTTTTCTAGTTTTCTATTTTTATTTTGCAATTTTTCGTGTTTCCCATTTTTGGGGATTTCAAATTCCGAATTTTTCAATTTCTTGATTGTTGCGGGTTTCCAACTTGGAATTTCAATTAAAGTTTTCAATTTTTCGGTTTAGAAATTTTCTAATTTTAAATTTAAAATTATTCAACTTGAATTTTGCAATTAATCGATTTTTCAGTTAGACATTTTCTATAATTTTCTAACATTTCAGTTTTTCGATTTTCTAATTTCCCGTTTTTCTTTCAACTGTGAGATTTTTCGGTGTTTCAATTTTACAATTTTTAGATTTCTCAAGCTTTGAATCTTGAAAACTAACTTTTCAATTATTCCATTTTTCGGCTTTTTCACTTTGCTATTTCTATTTTGTAGTTTTCCGAGTTTTTCATTTTTGGAGTTTTCAAAATCCGATTTTTCAATTTCTCAGTTTTTGTTATTTTGTTTCCTCAAGTTTTCGACTTGGAATTGCAAGTTTTCAATTTCCAAGTTTTCGTTTCTTTATTTTTTTCGATTTAGAAATTTTCTAGCATTCAGTTTTAAATATGTCAACTTAAATTTTTTAATTTTTATTTTTTCTACAAACTTGCATTTTCCAGTTTCTCGATTGTTAACTTTTTAAATTTTTGGCAAATTTTTCATTTCCTCAATTTTTCGATTTTTAAACCTTTCAATTCGTAACTTTTCGATTTCACAATTTTTCAATCTTCCTATTTTCCAAAACATATATTTCGCTAGAAGAATTTACCATTTTAAACATGTTTTAAGTTACTTCTTGTAAAAAGATGACTGCGTATATTAAGAAAAACAGAAGCAAAACATAAGCCCCGCCCACCCACCCGATCTCAATTGTGATGATTTTTTTCTATTCGTCATGAGTCAGGGGGCGGACCTTAATTGCAAAATCCTTATTTCTTTACATGTGAAACAAGTACTTAAGTCATTGCGTTGTTCAAAGAAAACTATGTATATGTATTATATAAAAAAGAAAGTAAAAACAGTATATTGTATGCATAAAAACATTACTATTTAAATATGATCTCACCTATCCTGACCTGACTTGACCTCTGTATTGTCTCAAATATTTTTTTTTAAACATTTCCGTGAATAAATAAAATGCAAAAAGTACACACAGTTATAAATCGTGAAACAAATCTCCATTTTTCCTGTTTTGTTTCTTCAAGTTGTCGACTTGCAATTTCAAGTTTTCAATTTTTCGTTTCCTCAATTTAGAAATTTTCTGCTTTTCGATTTTTCGACTAGATTTTTTCAATTTTCATTAGAATTTTTAATTCTGCAATCTTCCAACTTCAGTTTTAGATTTCTCAGTTTTTCGATTTTACAAATTTTAGTTTGTTCAATTCTCTATTTGGAATTATTCTAATTTTCAATTTTAAATTTGATCAATTTTTCGATTTCTCAACTTTTGAATGCTTAAATTTTTTCATGTTTCTGTTTTTTCGTTTTTTTCTAGTTTTCTATTTTTATTTTGCAATTTTTCGTGTTTTCCATTTTTGGGGATTTCAAATTCCGAATTTTTCAATTTCTTGATTGTTGGGGGTTTCCAACTTGGAATTTCAATTAAAGTTTTCAATTTTTCGGTTTAGAAATTTTCTAATTTTAAATTTAAAATTATTCAACTTGAATTTTGCAATTAATCGATTTTTCAGTTAGACATTTTCTACAATTTTCTGACATTTCAGTTTTTCGATTTTCTAATTTCCCGTTTTTCTTTCAACTGTGAGATTTTTCGGTGTTTCAATTTTACAATTATTAGATTTCTCAAGCTTTGAATGTTTAAATCTAATTTTTCAATTATTCCATTTTTCGGCTTTTTCACTTTGCTGTTTCTATTTTGTAGTTTTCCGTGTTTTTCATTTTTGGAGTTTTCAAAATCCGATTTTTTCAATTTCTCGGTTTTTGCTATTTTGTTTCTTCAAGTTTTCGACTGTTGGAATGAATAAACGTATTATTATTATTATTATTATTAAAATTTTCAATTTCCAATTTTTCGTTTCTTTATTTTTTCGACTTAGAAATTTTCTAGCATTCAGTTTTAAATATGTCAACTTGAATTTTTTAATTTTTCTACAAACTTGCATTTTTCAGTTTCTCGATTGTTAACTTTTTAAATTTTTTGCAAATTTTTCATTTCTTCAATTTTTCGGTTTTTAAACCTTTCAATTCGTAACTTTTCGATTTCACAATTTTTCAATCTGTCTATTTTCCAAAACATATATTTCGCTACAAGAATTTACCATTTTAAATATGTTTTAAGTTTCTTCTTGTAAAAAGACGACTGCGTATATAAAGAAAAACAGAAACAAAACATAAACCCCGCCCACCCACCCTATCTCAATCGTGATGATTTTTTTCTATTCGTCATGAGTCAGGGGGCGGACCTTAATTGCAAAATCCTTATTTCTTTACGTGTGAAACAAATACTTAAGTCATTGCGTTGTTCAAAGAAAACTATGTATATGTATTATATAAAAAACAAAGTAAAAACAGTATATTGTATGGATAAAAACATTACTATTTAAATATGATCTCACCTATCCTGACCTGACTTGACCTCTGCATTGTCTCAAATATTTTTTTTTAAACATTTCCATGCATAAATAAAATGCAAAAAGTACACACAGTTATAAATCGTGAAACAAATCTCCATTTTTCCTGTTTTGTTTCTTCAAGTTTACGACTTTCAATTTCAAGTTTTCAATTTTGCGTTTCCTCAATTTAGAAATTTTCTACATTTTGATTTTTCGACTAAATTTTTTTCAATTTTTAGAATTTTTAATTCTGCAATTTTCCAATTTCAGTTTTAGATTTCTCAGTTTTTCGATTTTACAAATTTTAGATTGTTCAATTCTCTATTTGGAATTATTCTAGTTTTCAATTTTAAATTTCATCAATTTTTCGATTTCTAAACTTTTGAATGCTTGAATTTTTTAATTTTTCTGATTTTTCGTTTTTTTCTAGTTTTCTATTTCTATTTTGCAATTTTTCTAATTCCCATTTTTGGGGATTTCAAATTCCGAATTTTTCAATTTCTTGCTTGTTCGGGGTTTCCAACTTGGAATTTCAATTAAAGTTATCAGTTTTCGTTTCTTCAATTCTTCGATTTAGAAATTTTCAAGTTTTGAATTTATAATTTTTCAACTTGAATTTTGCAATTAATCGATTTTTCAGTTAGACATTTTCTACAATTTTCTGACATTTCAGTTTTTCGATTTTCTAATTTCTCCATTTTTCTTTCAACTGTGAGATTTTTCGGTGTTTCAATTTTACAATTATTACATTTCTCAAGCTTTGAATGTTTAAATCTAATTTTTCAATTATTCCATTTTTCGGATTTTTGACTTTGCTATTTCTATTTTGGAGTTTTCGGAGTTTTTCATTTTTGGAGTTTTCAAAATTCGATTTTTTCAATTTCTCGGTTTTTGTTATTTTGTTTCTTCAAGTTTTCGACTTGCAATTTCAAGTTTTCAATTTTCAATTTTGCGTTTCCTCAATTTAGAAATTTTCTACTTTTCGAATAGATTTTTTCATTTTTCATTTGTTCGAATTTTTAATTCTGCAATTTTCCAACTTCAGTTTTAGATTTCTCAGTTTTTCGATTTTACAAATTTTAGATAGTTCAATTCTCTATTTGGAGTTATTCTAGTTTTCAATTTTAAATTTTATAATTTTTTCGATTTCTCAACTTTTCAATGCTTAAATTTTTTCATTTTTGATTTTTCGTTTTTTTTCTAGTTTTCTATTTTGATTTTGCAATTTTTCATGTTTCCCATTTTTGGGGATTTCAAATTCCGAATTTTTCAATTTCTTGATTGTTCGGGGTTTCCAACTTGGAATTTCAATTAAAGTTTTCAATTTTTCGGTTTGGAAATTTTCTAATTTTGAATTTAAAATTTTTCAATTTGAATTTTGCAATTAATCGATTTTTCAGTCAGACATTTTCTACAATTTTTTGACATTTCAGTTTTTCGATTTTCTAATTTCCCGTTTTTCTTTCAACTGTGAGATTTTTCCGTGTTTCAATTTTACAATTTTTTGATTTCTCAAGCTTTGAATGTTTAAATCTAATTATACCATTTTCCGGCTTTTTCACTTTGCTATTTTGTTTCTTCAAGTTTTCGACTTGGAATTGCAAGTTTTCAAATTTCCAATTTTTCGTTTCTTTATTTTTTCGATTTAGAAATTTTCTGGCATTCAATTTTAAATATTTCAACTTAAATTTATTAATTTTTTACAAACTTTTGCATTTTTCAGTTTTTCGATTGATAACTTTTTAAATTTTTTGCAAATTTTTCATTTCTTCAATTTTTCGGTTTTTAAACCTTTCAATTCGTAACTTTTCGATTTCACAATTTTTCAATTTTTCTATTTTCCAAAACATATTTCGCTACAAGAATGTACCATTTTAAACACGTTTTAAGTTTCTTCTTGTAAAAAGATGACTGCGTATATTAAGAAAAACAGAGGCAAAACATAAGCCCCGCCCACCCACCCTATCTCAATCGTGATGATTTTTTTCTATTCGTCATGAGTCAGGGGGCAGACCTTAATTGAAAAACCCTTATTTCTCTGCATGTAAAACAAATACTTAAGTCATTGTGTTGTTCAAAGAAAACTAATGTATTATCAATTTATCATCATTGTGTAAAAAAGAAAGCCAAAGGTTAAGTCCTACCTATATCCGCACCGATTTCAGTTGTGATAAATTTTTCATTCCTTTTTCATATTTCCTCACAAAAATTTATCATTTTAAACATGTTTGAAGTTTATTCTTGTAAAAAAAGGATAGCGTAGGGGTCATGAAAGGTCGAGAAAACGTAAAAGTAGCGAGTCGGCCGACGAACTCGATTACAATACTTCCCGAGCGTAAGCAAAGGAAAATTGAAACGTTCAAGTGTTGGAAAATCGGAAAACTGGAAAACTTAAAAATGAAAACTCGTGGAGGTATCGTAAAATTAAAGAAAAAAAAAACGAAAACTTGAAAAATTGCAAATTGAAAAACTTACGAAACGAAAAATTGAAAAAACAAAAAATTATAAAATCAGAACATTGAAAAACTGAAAAATTGATCAGTTCCATATATAAAAATAAATTTAAACACGACGATAGTACAAACAATGCTTAATTGAATTATTGTTGCAAACTTGCGCAACATAATTGACTAGGTGCTTAAAACGAAAAATTATCTCAAGATCAATCACAATCAGTATGTATTATAAAATTTTGATAATTACTGTTAATTAAAGAAAAGAATTTTAAGAGAACACTAAAATTGCTAAAAAAGTTTGGCAAAAACATTACATACCTCTTTTTCTAACAAAGCTCTCTCCATTATGTCTACTGTAAGATCACCAGGAAAAAAATCCTTGGTGGAAAGAAGCTTTGCAAAGTCATTCACAAATTCCAAAACCATAAACATATCACCTACATGCTCATCAGGAACTCTCGTGATTACAGGATCTGGTTTAGGCAATATCTGCAAATCATCAAAATTAACTTTACAAATAAATAAGTACCGATCAGAAAGTACCTGATGATCGACAAGCTCTAAATCTTCTTTAGGCTTATTCCACATTCTCAACTGCCCCGCTAACATAATGTTTTCTTCTTTCTTTTTTTGCTTCATTTCCATTTCCCTTTCTTTTTTTTGTTGTTTCATTAACTTAAACTCTTCCTCTTTCTTTCTCATTTTTTCCAACAGATCAGCGTTACTGCCATTTTTAGCAAACGCAGAATTTTTAGTAAGAAACTTATGCAGAGATTCTTGGCGTACTTTTTTACCATTGACAACTTTTTCAAATTTTCTTGAAGCATCAAACTCTGGTATTGGTCCCCCAAATATTTGTTCAAATGTAACCTTACTTAAGTTGAAACCATCAACTACTGACGGTTTTACAACAAATAACCCTCTCTCATCTTGTTCAACGTATTGTTTTAAAAATAATTTACACTTCTCGCGGGAAAAGGAGCCTTTTTTCCTTCTGATTTGGTTACAGTCTACGATCATGATTTCACTTATATCCTGGTCATCGGCGTCTAAATGTTCAATTTCGTATTTATATTGGGAAGGTGCGGGATGTGAACGTCGCTCCTGTACATTCCTGGTAAAGCATGTAAGTAAATTTCAGTGCAATTTTTAGATAAAATGTCTTACCCGTTTTTTGGAGGTGATTTTAACTTTCCTGATGGAGGTGCTATAACTTGCAGAACATGTGAATCTTTCCACTTTAAATCAGTAAAAGAAGTTTCAATATTTTCTCCAATAAAAAATCTATCTTTTGCATACAAAAATACATCCTCTGCCATTTCACCAAATCCTGATCTCTTGGTTTTAGTGGCTAGATAAAGAATGGGAATTTTAAGTTCGGCTGGAAACTCTTTCAGGCTGTTTTTGGCGTTGTCTTCGCTTTCCAAAGCTTCCGCGTAGGTTAAATTAGCTTTTCCCGTCAACGAACACGTCCACACCATGGAATTACACAGAAACATTCTTTCAGAAAAATCTCTGCAAATTAATAACATGTTATTTAAAAGGTAAACATAACCTTACACATTGTGGAAAAACAAACTGATGAAATTAAAATAAATTTGCATGATTTTTGAGGTCGATGGCGTAGGTACCAGGAGACCGTTAGTTGATGATTGGAAGATTTTGGTGAGAACTTGATACAGTTCAGTAAAACTATAAGCTACTTACTCATAGTCGCGAAAAATTTCATTTGTGATAGCACAATAAAAAACTTCTTCATCGTCGCGAATATTTTCCGGAATCGGGTTTTTTTCAAATAGCTTTTTCTTTAAAAGAGGCATTTCTCCCGATGAATGACTATTTGGAGGGAAAATCTTCAAGTGTTTACCACATGTAAATAAAGTAGTTGTAACACTTAATTGATAATAATTTATGCACTGTTAGGTGAATAATCACAATAAATCAGTAAAACTACAATTCAAAACCCAATAAACAAATAAATTCACAACAAAAGTACGTTACTTTTGCCATTCATGACATTCACAGAAGAACGTTTTCGGCTTGTTGGAGATACAACTGATGCTACGGCGCATGCGCGAAGCGCAGGTGACTGTTCAACTGAGCTTGCGCACGAAAATGTGGACCTTTAAAAAATCAGCGGTTTCCAAAATGTTCAACATTTATTGAAGCCATTCAGTGAAATAATTACAAACTTTAGGATTAATAAGACCCGTATCGGCACATCTGTTCACTATCGGACATATACCACACGTCGTTTTTACAATTCCTGGAGTAGGTACGAAGTGACTAACTGCTCTATAAAGAAAAGAACCATTCGTAGCGACAATTCTTTCCGCGTTATTATCCAACACAACTGTGTACAATATACTTTCAATGTCATCCACCGACAACGATATTTTACTAATTCCTAATTCCGATATAAACTTGTGTACGTCACTCGCAGTGGCGTAACTTCGATTCCGCGCCAACAGCGGACCTCCCCCCATACTATTTGCTTCATCAGACTTTTGTTTTAAAAATCTGTAACATTGTTGATTCAAAACGTCCACAAATTCGGATTCGAAATCTTGATCTTGATACCAAGCTCCGCCCGTTACTGAGCTATCTGCCTCCAAGTCATACAACATGTACACCTTTTTTTTGCTCGCCTAAAACACAAACAAATCATTTCAAACTCAATGATACCTAATCGCTACTACCGAAACAGATTTAACCGCCTTGATCAGTTTTTTTGTTTCCAAACTCTTCAAAACTTTGTTCAGCTGTGTCATATTCAAATTTGATTTAAACCTAATGTCTCTTATCCAAATTCCTTTATTTCCGGCTTCTTCAATGATTTTATACACTATTTTTTCTTCATTGTCGGCACCTCTCACTGTAGTTTTCTTGGATGAATCTTTGTATTTATATAACAGCTTATCCTTGGTTTTAAACAATTCCAATGACCTGTTAAAATAATTCATTGCAAAAAAAACAGCAATTTTAATAAGTATCAGACCTACCCATTTTTCAAACATTTATTAATGATAACGGCGAGTTCTTCAAGTGGCAAGTCGGGTATCTGTTGTTTTATATTTTCATTTGAGATTCCTTCGGGCTTACTTTTGGCCAGTTCAATCAAACGCTCTTCGTTGGTAGATCCCTGACTGCCAGAACCACTTGCTTGATTCATGTTTCACTAGTTTTTCAATGTTTGTTTCTTTACCAAGTAAAAATTAGGTTACTTCCACCCAGAAAATACTTAATTTCTTTTTAACAATTAGACAACCCAACATTCAACATTTCATTGGCGAAGAATGGTAAAAACAGCCTTGGAAAACAGTCAAAACACAATGCATTTTAGGTTAGGATTAGAACGAGAATGTAGAGAACACCAAAAATGTTTTATTGGAGACATTCGCGGAGAGACTGACACCTAGCGGTGATTTTGCGCACTAGAGGAAGGGGAAATATAACCAAATTTACATAAGTTGTGTACTGTTATTTTACAAAAAGTACACACACAAAATACAAACAAAAAGTAAGGTTCAAACAAGGTGGTTAAATGGTTTTTCTTAATATACGTAGTATTCTTTGAACAACGCGATACTCAAAACATGTTTTTAATTTCTTGTAAGGAAATAAATATTTTGCAGTTAAGCTCTGTCCCCTTGGTTCACGGCGAATAAAAAAAATCATCACAATCGAGACAGGGCGGGTGGGCGGGGCTTATATTTTGCCTGTTTTCTTAATATACGTAGTCGTCTTTTCAGAACAAGAAACTTAAAACATGTTTAAAATGCAAAATTTGTATAAGCAAATATCGATTTTGCAATTAGGCTCCGTCCCATAATTGCAAAATCCATATTTCCTTTCAAAAATGTACCATTTTGACCATGTTCTAAGTTTCTTGTTGTGAAAAAATAGCTACGTATATTAAGAAACAACACCCAAAATATAATCCCCGCCCACCCACCCTATCTTAATTGCAATTATTTTTTTTATTCGTCTCAAGCCGAAGGGTGGAGCGTTATTGCGAAATCGATATTTTCCTATAGAAATTTACCATTCTGAACATGTTTTAAGTTTCTTATTGGGAAAAGAAGGTAAAATGTAACATCAACATAAAGTAAGGGGGGGGGAGGCGGTCGTTACCAAGAGGGGTGACAACGAGAATTCACTCCCACAGCCAGAGAATACTTACAGAAGGATCACTCCGCAAAAATATACAAAAAAAAAATCGGAACGGCAGACAGACAGACAGACAGACAGACAGACGGAAACGGGAGACCCATGAAAAATCTAGAAAATACAAAAGTAGAGAGTCGGCCAACGGACTTCATTACAAGACTTCCTAATATTTTGCCTTTTTTTTCTTAATATATTTACATAGCCATCTTTTCATAACAAGAACCTTAAAACATGGCTAAAGTGGTTTATGCAAGGAAATATGGATTTTGCAATTATTGGGCGGAGCCTAATTGCAAAATCGATATTTCCTTATACAAATTTTCCACTTTAAACATGTTTTAAGTTTCATGTTGTGAAAAGAAGTCTACACATATTAAAACAAAAAAGCAAAATCTAAGCCCGCCCACCCGCCCTATCTCAATTGTGATGATTTTTTATTTGCCGTGAACCAAGGGGGGGGGGCGGAGCTTAACTGTAAAATACTTATTTCTTTCCAAGAAATTAAAAACATTGAGTATCGTGTTGTTCAAAGAATACTATGTAGATTAAGAAAAAAAGGCAAAATATGACCTCCCCCTAGCCACCCTATCTCCATTGTTAGTTTAGAAACTTAAAACACGTTTAAAATGGTAAATTTTTGTAAGGAAATTTGGATTTTGCAATTAGACTCCGCCCCTAGGTCTGCCAACGAATGACAACTTCATTACTATTTAAATCAGGGCAAGTATGGGTGGAGCTTAATCTGTGGATTTAATTTTTTCTTGATATATACAGTATTCTTTGAATAACACGATACTCAAAAACATGTATTAATTTTTCGTAGAGAAATAAGGATTTTGTTGTTAAGCTCCACCCCCTTGGCTGACGACCAATAAAAAAAAATCATCACAATTGAGGTAGGGCGGTTGGGCGAGGCTTACACATAATTTGTCTTTTTTCTTGATATACATAGTCGTCTTTTCAGAACAAGAATCTTAAATCATATTTAAAATGTTAAATTCTTGTAGACAAATATGGATCTTGCAATTAAGCCCCGCCCATCTAACAACGAATGAAAAATTCATGGTAATTGAGAATTGAGACGGATGGGTGGGGCTTCTTCTCTTTTGTTCTTCTTTTTTAATTAATACATTTAGTTTTCTCTTTATAACACGATTATTTAAAATCATATTTCACATAGTTATTTCTCGTAGAAAAATAAGGATTTTACAATTAAGCTCCGCCCCTAGGCTTACGACGAATAAAAAAAAAACATCAGAATTGAGATACGGCGGGTGGGCGGGGCTTGTATTTTGCCTTTTTTTTCTTAATATACATAGCCATCTTTACACAACAAGAAATTTAGAACATAAGCCTAATTGCAAAATCGATATTTCCTTATACAAATGTTTTCTTTTAAACATGTTTTAATTTTCATGTGAAAAGAATTGTACACATCTTAAAACAAAAAGTCAAAATGTAAGCCCGCCCACCCGCCCTGACTCAATTGTGATGATTTTTTTATTCGCCCTGACTCAAGGGGAATCAGCTTAACTGCAAAATACTTATTTGTTTACAAGAAATTAAAAACATGTTTTTGAGGATCGTGTTGTTCACAGAATACCATTTATTTTAAGAAAAAAAAAGCAATGATGCTGGGATGATTTTTTTATTTCTAGAAACTTAAAACATGTTTAAAATTGGTAAGTTTTTGTAAGGAAATATGGATTTGGCAATTAGGCTCCGCCTCTAGGTGTGCCAACGAATGAAAACTTCATTACTATTTAGATTAGGGCAAGTATGGGTGGAGTTTAATCTTTGGTGTTTATTTTTTCTTAATATACATATTATCCTTTGAATAACACGATACTCAAAAAATGTCTTACATGGTAACTTCTTAGATTGTATAGTTATGTATATAAATATAAAATCGGTTATATTTTCTTTTATAGTTGTGTGCACTAAATTTAAAAATCGAAAAATTAAAAAACTAGAAATTGAAAAGTTTCCAGAACTAATAATGTTACAAAAATTGAGAAATCGCAAACTAAAAAATCGGGAAATCTAAAAATCGAAAAGTCGAAAAATTTTAAAAACCGAAAAACCAAGATGGCAAAATTAAAAAATCGAAAAATTGAGAAATAGGAATATTGAACTGAAAAATCGAGAAATCGAAAATTTAAATATTTCGAAAACTGAAAAATTGAAATATTGAGATAGGGTGGGTAGGCGGTTTTTTTTTGCTTTTTTTTCTTAATATACACAGTATTCTTTAAAGAACGCGCGATACTTAAAACATGTTTTTAAATTCTTGTAAAGAAATAAGTATTTTGCAGTTAAGCTCTGCCCCCTTGGTTCATGGCGAATAAAAAAAATCATCACAATTGAGACAGGGTGGGTGGGTGGGGCTTATATTTTGCCTGTTTTCTTAAGATACGTAGTCGTCTTTTCAGAACAAGAAACTTAAAACATGTTTAAAATGCAAAATTTGTATAAGCAAACATCGATTATGCAATTAGGCTCCGTCCCATAATTGCAAAATCCATATTTCCTTTCAAAAATGTACCATTTTGACCAGGTTCTAAGTTGCTTCTTGTGAAAAAATGCCTATGTATATTAAGAAAAAAAAAAACGCAAAATATAAGCCCCGCCCACCCACCCTATCTCAATTGCAATTATTTTTTTTATTCGTCTCAAGCCGAGGGGTGGAGCGTTATTGCAAAATCGATATTTTCCTATAGAAATTTACCATTCTGAACATGTTTTAAGTTTCTTATTGGGAAAAGAAGGCAAAATGTAACAATATCAACATAAAGTAAAGGGGGGGGGGGGGGAGGCGGTCGGTACCAAGAGGGGTGACAAAGACAATTCACTCGCACAGCCAGAGAAGGATCACTCCGCAAAAATATACGAATAAAATATAGGAACGGCACACAGACAGACAGACAAACAGACGGAAACGGGAGACCCATGAAAAGTCGAGAAAGACTTCCTAATAGTTTGCCTTTTTTTTTTCTTAATATATTTACATAGCCATCTTTTTATAACAAAAACCTTAAAACATGGCTAAAGTGGTTTATGCAAGGAAATATGGATTTTGCAATTATTGGGCGGAGCCTAATTGCAAAATCGATATTTCCTTATACAAATTTTCCATTTTAAACATGTTTTAAGTTTCATGTTATAAAAAGAAGTCTACACATATTAAAACAAAAAGGCAAAATGTAAGCCCGCCCACCCGCCCTATCTCAATTGTGATGATTTTTTTATTCGCCGTGAACCAAGGGGGGCGGAGCTTAACTGCAAAATACTTATTTCTTTATAAGAAATTAAAAACATGTTTTTGAGTATCGTGTTGTTCAAAGAATACTACATAGATTAAGAAAAAAAGGCAAAACATAACCCCCGTCTACCCATCCCATCTCAATTATGATAATTTTTTTATTCTTAGAAACTTAAAACACGTTTAAAATGGTAAATTTTTGTAAGGAAATATGGATTTTGCAATTAGTCTCCGCGCTCCGCCCCTAGGTCAACCAACCAATGAAAACTTCATTACTATTTCGACCAGGACAAGTATGGGTGGGGCCTAATCTTTGGCTTTAATTTTTTCTTATTATACATAGTATTCTTTGAATAACACGATACTCAAAAACATGTTTTTAATTTTTTGTATAGAAATAAGGATTTTGCAGTAAAGCTCCGCCCCTTTGGCTCACGACGAATAAAAAAAATCATCACAATTAAGATCGGGCGGGTGGGCGGGGTTTATACCTAGTTGGTCTTTTTTTTTTTATATACATAGTCGTCTTTTCAGAATATTTAAAATGTTAAATTCTTGTAGACAAATATGGATCTTGCAATTAAGCCCCGCCCCTCGATCTGACAACGAATGAAAAATTCATCGTAATTGAGAATTGAGACGGATGGGTGGGGCTTCTTCTCTTTTGGTTTTCTTTTTTAATTAATACATTTAGTTTTCTCTTTATATGTAACACTATTATTTAAAAACATATTTCGCATAGTTATTTCTCGTAGAAAAATAAGGATTTTACAATTAAGCTCCGCCCCTAGGCTTACGACGAATAAAAAAAAAACATCAGAATTGAGACACGGCGGGTGGGCGGGGCTTGTATTTTGCCTTTTTTTTCTTAATATACGTAGCCATCTTTACACAACAAGAAATTTAGAATAT